TGATTTCAATGACGGCACTTTGATACTCTATGCATCGTTGCCTTGTGTAGGAGGTAGCCCATGGGGGAACGTGAATGGCCTTACTGTTGAGGGTCAGGAAAGAATCAAAGAGCAACAAAAACAGTTTACCAAGTTGTTCAAATCTTTTGTCAAACTTGTGGATGAAGTTTATGATGAACGAACCTTGATAGCATTTGAACTGTCCAAGAATTGCAAATATTGGAGATGGCCGATGGTTAGAAGATTCCTCAAAGAACGATCCATGACTACTCATCACTTTGATGGTTGTATGTTGGGTGTTCTTGGAAACAACGGTCAACCAATGAAGAAAAGTTGGACTATTGCAGGAAATTTTAAAGAACTCACCGTGTTAGACTCATTCAAATGTGATGGCAAACATGAGCATGATCAAAGTAGGGGCAAAGCTCTTAAACTTGCTGAGAACTATACCTTCAAGTTGACTGACATGCTCCATGAGTGTTTCCGGGTAGCTGTGGTGGGCCAAACATCCAAAAGGATTTCACCCGTTGTCATTCGTGCCTGTCCTGCAAAAATGGCTGACTCACGATATGCCACAGCACACCCGGCCAGCCGCGAGGCTGCGCTCGAAGCCACACGTGAGGCTAACAAAGAAGCATGGTTGCTCCTTCACAATCGCATTTTGTATGCATTGGCCATGCGCAATGAAGGTGAGAATCAGGCTGCTCAGGACCTTGTGGATGGTTTGATGACCGAATGGACGCCGGCTTCGGCCCTGAGGTTCTATGGTCGAGAGGATCCGCTTGCAGAATACCTTAGTTTCTGCTTTTTGCCAAAGGAGTCCCACATCGAAAAGATCATGCTGCCAGAGATGCCCGTCAATGACGTAATCTGGATCTTAGTCTCTGACTCGTCATGTGCATTGATCACAGGGCGTAGGAAGACACTTAAGAAGTTTGATCTTTCCGAGCACTACCGACAGCGCAAACCCAAGTACGTGACTGAGTTCATCCACGAGATGCTTTGGGGTAAAACTTTGCAGAAGTTGGTAAAGAGAGGGATCGAATTGGCCGCGGACGCCCGCGAGCGCTATCCTCATGCACGCATCAACCTGCACTTGTCCTGGTTCGGAAATGAATTGGTAGGGGAGGATGGAATTGCCCAAAATCCAAATTGGCCGTACGATGGTCCCAACGGGCACTGGCCCACGATCCTGGATGATTGTGAGCGCCACTTGACATGGTTCATCAACAAGGCCCGGGAGTTGGACTTGCAGACGGCCGGTTTCACGACCGCGCCCTGGAGCGCAGATTACGGCATTCATCCAATTTTCGATCAATTCTTCGACCATTTGGAGCCCCGATTCAAAGCTCTAACCAGCAGCCTGCAAGGGCGTGCCAATCCGCGGTATCCGTGGCTAAAAGCAAAGGGGTACGCCGATGCAATGGAATTCAGAGACCAGTGGCATTTCGCCAACTCTGAAGAAAATCGCACGCGCCTTGCTGCCTATTGGACAGCTACCCTTTTCGCACTTGATTCCGGATGGCGGGTCGGCCAAATTGGTTTGGAGCTTTCTGAGTGTGCCCAGGAGATGTGGGATGATTTGCGGAGGAACATGAGCGCCGTCCTGGACGAGCTGCCAAGATCCTATCAGGAGACATGTGCAAACATCACCAAGTTGCTTTTTGGAGAGTCCCGAAGACACATTGTGCCGACGGGCAGGTCATTCACCAAGGAGGACGTCGAAGCTCAACAACCTGACACTGAGGACTACATCGACATCAAGACGATGCCTTCGGGCACGTTTGCTGAGCCTCCCAAAGATGACCCTCCAAAGGCCGCCGGCGACGGCGAGCCCGCTGCATCCAGCAGAGCAACAATCCTGGTCCAGACAGCTGAGGTCATGTTGAAGTCGCGGCCGAAAGCAGCACCAGCATCAATGGATGAGCCCGCAGATGACAAGGGAGCCACATCCAGCCAGTACCAGCCGCAGGCAACTGCGCGCTTCGAGGGACAAGCATCTGGCCACGTGAAAGCATATTGGATGGAAGAGCATTTGCCTGAATACCAATATACAATGGTGACCAATGCAGACGGGGACGATGTGCCCGGCATCCTCTTTGAAGGTACGGCTTATGAGCTGGAGCTGATATCGGCATCCGACGTTGAGACCATTGCCAGCCAGACTCGCGTCGACAAGAAGTTTTCTGATTTTGCAACTCGTGTCAACAAAGTTTGCAGGGGGCATGGATCCTGTGCCAAGGTGCCAATGGACAAAGACCTTTGGATTGACTTGGAGGATTTCGCCAAAGCCTTCCGCAAGGAAGTGCCCCCAGATGTTTTCATCACTGTCGCAAACCTGTTTGGCACCGCAATGAAGATCGACAAGCATGGCAAGAGTAGGTTCCAATTCTTGTGTGCAAAGATCTCCCATTTTCCTGTCGACAATGGCCTAGGCATGCCGTATTATCCTGTGAAAATCCGTGCAATTCAGGGTCACTCCGAAGCTGCCTTGAAAACCGCAGGGGGTCTTTATGCCAATTCAACCATGGTGTATTGCTCAGACCATGTATCCCCCGAGCGAAAAGCCGCCTTCACTGGCGTGCCCCTGTGTGCCATGACTGAGGTTCCTGAGGTTGTCTTCCATCGCACGATGAAAAGCAGCTGGAAGAGCATCGCACAGAACGGCCTGATCCCAGGCGGCGGTGCAACAGTCAACAGTGGCCGTGCCCATATCTACATGGCAGAACACTGTATTGGCACGCAGGGGTATCGATCTGGATTAAGAGCAAAATGTCCAATCGAAGTCAAAATCGCAATGCGGCAAGCAGTTGAAGCTGGTGTCATCTTTAGTCGCACAGAAATGGATGGGATTTTGTGCTCAGAACGCATCCCACCGCAGTTTCTGGTCAGCATCTCAGAAGAAGGACAGGTGCTTTGGTCCCGCGCCGAGAGCAATCTCGAGCCCAGCACATGGACTGGCGCGGCATCTGCCTCAGCACCGAAAGCCAAAGCGGTCACCTTGACTGCCCGAGATGATGCAAATGACGACCCAATGGATGACACCAGCACGGGGCGACCCGATGCCAAGTCCACTGATGATGATGAAGCCACTGCCTCAATGCAAGTTGACCAGCCGCCCGCAAGGACGCGCCGTGTTTACATTGCACCCAAGTACTGCGAACCTTTCATGGGCTCCTGTCCCCTCTGCCAGGTTGAGTACGTCAGTGGCCAAGTGACATGCACCACATGTGGTTTTGAGCCACTCCCAGTGGACGAAAGTGGCGATACAAAAGAGGCCAACAAACCCAACAGGAGGACCCGCATCCTTGAACGGCGAATGCAAAGTCTCGCCGGGTTCGGAATGTTTGGGAAGATGAGCGGAAGCTTGCTGACAGCCTTGACGGAAGAGCAAGCCAACCTGCTACGCCGAGAACTGGGCCCCAGGGGAATCACATCCGTGGAATCAGCAGTCCTCAAAGACTGCCGCGACAGGCATCGACGTGCAAAAGCGCTGGGCTACGAGGACGTGGAAGATAGATACTCCAGCGACGTCACTTTTTGCGACCGCATCCACGGTGAGGGGAAGGACCTGCAGGACTGCATATTTGACGATATGTTCGCATATGGCAACCTCCCCGATCCCCCAAGGACCAAAGCTCAGATCTCGGCTGGCGTCGCCGCCAATGCCCAAAATGAGAACTGCTTATCTAAGTTGATTTTCATGTCTCAGCCTCGTGGCGTTGATGGCTTCCCAGTTGAGTTCCGCAAAACATGGAAGAAGGTCTGGGGTTTCATGTTTGGCCGCCACATTTTTACAGAGGATGAATATGTCAGCTACATCGGCCGTCGTGGCGCATTCCGTGGCCTGTTGACCTGGAAGGGTACTGTCCAAGTCCCTCTTGATGGCACTCGTGATTTCCTCGAAAAGGTGTATGAGGAAAACCTTCCCTTGGTTCGGAGCAATCTTGAACGCAAAGAGAAGCAGAGCGCCGCTGCAAAGGCTGGAGGTCCTGGAGGTCATAAGGCCGACCCCACGGTCGCGCCCACCATTGAGCGAAAGCGCAAAGCCGAAGCTGATGCATCCGCAACCGCACCAGATGTCACAGCCGCCTCAAGCTCTGCTCGCGCAGATGCCTCGCACGCTGATGCCCCAGCCGCACCATTTCTGGTACCTGAACCACCAACATCCAAAGCAGGAGCACGACCATTCTTGGAGCCTGAGACACCGCCCACTGCAAAAGCAGCAACCGCAGGAGTCACTTCGAAGGCTGCAAGCTCCGGTCGCCCGGATGCCTCTTGGAGTTGGAATCGTGATCACTATGGTGCACGCCGAGAATGGAGTTTCTGGCGTGGGGCTTGGTATTACCGTGACGAGGCCGGCGGCCGTTGGATCTTTTGGAACCGTTAGGGAGACGATGATTTTCTTTTGTAGCATAGCGCAAGATGTGGCATGGTAATGTGCCTTCCTTGCAACGCTGCGCTGGGTTTTACGGGCTTGAGCTTTTTAGAGGGACCTTTGAAAGACTGCACAAAATGTCTAAAACCAACTAAAGAAATTCGGCTACCCGCGAGGGTATGCTTTTCTGGGTTATTCGTTCTCCGCAGTCGTCCCTGCTCGCCCGAGGGGGGTGTAAAAACTCCTGCAGTAAAACCATGTATTGTATATATCATCGATCTGCCCGATAGCGTTGGTTCAAAAGAGCTGAGTGCTTAACGGTGTTAGCTTAGTATTTCACCCCATTGTCGGTTGACCTGGTAAAATACAACAACTAAACATGTCACGATCCTGTTGGTAGGTGGGCTTCATTCGTGCCCAAAGTCTGAGTGGTCCGGAAGACGTGTTTCTTGGATAGGGAGACAAACTGAGAAAGCCAAATGTGTTTTTATTGCTGTATTCATCCTGAAGTAGATAGAATTTTGGATGTTCAAACATATGCCGATGTTATCCCATGTTATCCTAGTGAGTTGTTTTTTTTTTGAAATCTTCATATTCTACTCCCGGACGCCGCGTCTCGCAGGCTGGTTGGTGGGCAAGGTGACCCATGCTTTTTCAGTGGTCCATCGAGCCATTGCGGTTGGGAGCTCAGCAAGACATTGCGGGCCTTAGGGAAGCAGTTGGAGCAACCATTAAGGCCCGCAATGTACATGGACCATTTATAGATGATCTACCTATCAAAATGAGTCTGGTTGGTGGTTTGGAACATGTCTTATTTTTCATTTCATATATGGGATGTCATCCTTCCCATTGACGAACTCACTCCATCATATTTTTCAAGATGAACCAGGTGTGTATGTTCACCAAGAAAATGGACATGTACTGCGAATGGTATGAAGATCTACTATCCAAAGATAACAATTCTATGCATTACATATTGTAATATGATATGATACGGTATAATATTTGATAAAATGATATGAGATGAAACAATCATATCATATATATATATAAGCTAAAATGTGGGTATTGTATGGGTATATCAAGCAACGAATCTGGTTATTCCCTGGGATGATGATGAACCACTGCAGCGGCAGCGCAGAGTCGGTTCAATTAAAAAAAATAAAATCTGGAGGTCTTGGAGGTCTTTTGACGTTGAGAAACACAGATGTTATCATGGTGTTATGATATGTTATGATGGTGTTTGCTACTTCCAAATACAAACATACCGGTATTGCAATATGTAGCCATGATATTGAGCCGGATAAATTATGACGACCTCACGGTGACGTCACCAGAAATGATATATGCGACAAATGTATACAAATGCGGCTAGTAAATTGTTAGTGAGGGTAACTATTGTAGGTTGGTGAATCATGTTGATTCATGATATATATATATATATACGTACGCATATATTGAATGTGGTGTACGGTACATAACATTACAGTATATTGCAATATATTATATGTGGTAATTACCATGACATTTACCCTTCGCTAATCAAACACTTAGTTTGATGATTTTCCCAGCTATAAACCTCCATTTTTTTCAGGGTTTTCCCATTGCCACGTTTGATTACCGGAGGATATACAATGTTCCATTCCCCGAAATCAAAGTCTGGTGAGAAATTGGGTCAGCTGAAGTTAGCTGAAGTTCCCGGCAGGATTCTTTCAGCCTTTTGGCCATCTACTTTCTCGGTGTCTCAGCTGTGGTGGAGGTTGTAGTGATCCATCATTCATAACCATCAAGTCATCGGGAAAATGATGACTAACAAGTGGTTTTGAAGAGTTTGCTATAATGATTCACTTGTTTAAACATTGGGGAACATGATGATTAAACAACGGGGAAAATGATGGTTCACAGTTTTTAAGAGGTAAATCATCGACAAATAGGCGATTCATAGTTATGTTGAATTGCCAGAGGGTAATAAACCACAGCTTCGACGTTTTATTTCAAACAATATTGGATGGTCATACGGGTCATACGTGCCATGGTCAGCAGTTGGAGTGTATAAATATGTTGGGGGCTGGTCATAACAAAATTAATCGGTTTTATGTGTAGTTGCCAACCAAATTAATCGGATTCCCAGCAATGGTTGGATAACCAGAAGCCATATGCCATGTGTTGACCAAACTCCACACATCAGCTACGGTGATTGTGGAGTTTGCCGCATTATATAGTGTACGGATGTAGCGCATTGTATCGCCCACATCAAGAATGGGAACTTCCAATGGATGCTTCTGGGTTCCACTAGAGAAGCATGTTTTGTCGTCGGTGAGCTGGAGCACTGGCTGAAGTAATCTCAAATTGAATGATAGTTTCATTTAATGATTATATATGTATACATTATAAATATATATATATATATTAATATGACATAAGATACCATAAATGTTCTATGATTGCATCTGGAGCTGACCATTCTTCACTTCCTCATATGTTGCGAAACCGGTGAAAAGCCACGAGCGAACAAATCCTACCTGCGAAACCCAAGTGGAAAAATGGCCGCTATGGACCTATATGGACCTTGGATGACCTGCCGAATGGAGCGGCACCCACCGCCGAACCGTTCTCTGTTAAGTCGCACCATGGATTTGGGGAATTGCTGTGGAAACAAAAGATACAGAGGGTGAAATTCTGCCATGCCATGCTGGAAATGTGGGTTTTAACATGTTTTAAAATGGTTGAACACTCTGTCCGCAAATTTCCGCGATAAAATTTTCGTTTCTTTTAGTCTCTACAAAAAATATGTGGCGAACCTGTTTTCAACCCGTCGTGAGAGTTTACCACCCATTTTTTTTGCAGATTGCCTTTTTCATATCTTCAGCCAGGTTGACATACTTACTATGTAATGGAAAGGGCGGCCAAAGCGTGTGAAGAACCCGACAACCCCTGAAATGACAAAAATTGCGATATTTCAATTTTTCAAGTCTTTCCCATCCCGGATCTTCAAAAAGTATGGACGTCAAAATTTCCTCTACCAAAAGGCTGTGCTTGAGGGCCTTTGCAAACTGTATTTCAATAAGAAATTTGTATGCCCAAACCCATCTTGGGCACATGCTTTTGTAAGCGGGCTGTGTTTTTGTAGGACTTGTTTATCTTATAAAAACCAGGTGTCCTTGTGTAGGGAACTTTTTTTTTGGGTCATGCAAAACCATGGGCACAAGAGCCCTCATTTTGTAGGAGACATGTTGGTCAAGCAAAAAAGGGTCAACTGGTTCTGCGCTCATGTTGTAATGCTGTAAATTGTTTTGCATGTTTTTGCATGTTTGGACCCAAAATCAATGAAAAATGAGCTCCCTACCAAAAGGGATCCCGTTCTAAGAATCATCAACAAAATGGGCCATTTGGACATCTATATAGACATCTAAAATCACATTGTCTTTTAGTAGGGGGTTTAGAAGGGGTGGGTGCTTCCTTTTGGTAAGTTGTTTTTGGTCTTTTTTGACCTTAAGAACCCATTTTGGTAGTAGGGGGGTTGGTTCAAGGCTTTGTAGCTACAAAAGGGGGTGGCCAACCCACCCCCTGGAATTTCAACCCCCATCAAAAAGTAGGTTTTGTTAAATATCACACTTTTTTCTGGTACTTAGGGCGCAGGTAGATGCATCTAATGACCTGTATATATGTTCCAGCAGTTTACCCCCCCAGTTTCCACAAACAAGCGAATGTTTGAACTTTGAATTTGTCAAGTTGGATTTCAGGGAATATCTGCGTGGAAAGCTCATGTTTGATGCGAAAAAACGATGTTTCCCTTGAACCCAGCGTGGCCGGCGGTCAGCAGATCTCATCAACTGTTCGAAGCCGCGGTTTGAACCCCCCAACCAAACAACGTATTCAACATGTTACATCTGGTCATTGAAAGTCGTCCAAGTTGATTGGTAATGATATAGATTACATTGAGATATTGAATCATCAAAACTCTGTTGGACATAGTTACAATCTCTGTATCCAAGATTATCCAAGAACCTCAAGCGCCGATCTCCGGCCCAGGTGATCCTCTGTTGAATGGCAAGAGTTTGGACAACAGCACTTTAAACCTCGTTGCCATGATCGTGCCACTGAGCACTGCCACGTGGGGTGGCCAAGAGGATGGTTCTTGTGGAATGGGTGGAAGATGTTGGAAATAAACATGGAATTTTGGTCCTTGGCAATGGCTTTATAATCATTATAAAATGGATTTGTTACAAACATTTATAATGATTTATGAAACCATGGAAGAAAAGCCAAGCTAAGCGGAAATGAAGTGTGCAGGGTATGATGAATCATGCATATAATCATAGGAAAAAATGAATTAAGTATAGGGAAACAAATATGACACTGGGTGAAGAATCCAAGAGCCATTTCAACGAACGACCAGATGGATATATATATATATATGTATATGTATATGTATATATTTATATAACACCATAATACATCCATTGATAGACATCAACAAACATCATCTAACATCATCAAACTTAATCACACAACAACCATCCGAGCATATGTCCATCAATCAAAAGGAGATGCAACCAACGAGCAAAGAAGGATGTTTCGTGATATTCAACTACTTAGGAAGTGAACCAAGCATATTTTTTGGGGGAACACAAAGGGCAAGGTGAATAGTTACAGCATGTTACAGCACATTCTCTCAATGGCACGGCACAACCTGAAACAATTGGGAAATGCGGTGCAACAAAATGCCATCCTTATAGTCGCCAGGGGCATGCTGAACTGGGCGTGAGAGCTAGGTAGTGGGTGCTAGTAAGATCTTCCTGGGACCACTCAACCAAGCAGCCTATGGATTCTGAGTGCCTCCAAAACGTGAGCTCTTGAGACCTTGTCATAATTTGCCTGAACGTCACCCTTAAACATCTTAAACTATGTCGAAAGATTATTGATACATTGCAACACTTGCTAAAATGGTGATCTTTGACACTTCTCAATCTTCTCAAAGAAAACTGCATTGGCACCATTTCTGTTTGTGAACCATCACAAGTTGCACGTCCTTTGTAGTCCTTTCTTGGTTTTGATTGGCACCAGCATCTGGTTGATGTCGGCTCGCCGAATGGGGCCCAGTTGTTGAGACCTCATCAGGTTTCCGTGTTTTTTTTTGGTAGTAATACGCAACAAAAAAGAACAGTAATTCACCACTAAGGCCACTAAGTCATTCTGTATGTATTTATATATATATATACAAGAAAGGTACTGTAATAATTTATGATCATGGCGAGAATCATTATAATGATAATAACCGTTCATAAATAATAATATTGACAGTACTAGTATCACTCATATGTGCATGTATCATAGGAATAATCATAAGAATACTAATGATAATAACAATAACAACAATAACGACGAACCTAATAATGATACTACCAATACTAACTTTAACTGATCTGATCTGGTTTATCTGTGCATATATGATATATATATATATGGGGGATGAATTCAAGGCCTATTAGGTCATCATATTTGAGGCTACCGTAGCTACCATTCGGGCGTAGGTTCACCGTGGCCACCGCGGAGATGCGAAAAGCCTTTGAGGCGATATGGGATTTCAGTCAAAGATGGCGATGAGGACCTCAGTCAGCAGACTTTTTTTTGTCAAGAAAAATGAGGATGATGTAGTTTTGCTGAGATTTATATCATTTCATATCTAGATATATAGACAATAGATGACAATGGATGTCAGATGCATGCAACTCTGACATGTGCTTACTTGGATTTATTTGGTTGTTTCTGAACATGGGTGTGAATAATCATCCCTTTTGCCCGTTCGAAAACATCTTGTCAGGGATTCCCGTTCTGAAATGCGGTAGCCATCAATGGGATTCAACTAAGCATCAATAGACAGATCCCAGCGATTTGTGAAAGATGGGTGATGGTAGGGGGACCCTTCTAACAAGAATCCCATGCTCCTTTTCAAATCTTGTTTCTGGGAACAAATGCCACCTCATTTCACCACCCATTTCACCAAAGTTTCTGAGTTTTGTTCATGATTAGGTGGAAGGGGTTGTTGATTGTTTGCTGCAATGTTTATCTACAGTATCTTATTCTATGTTTAATCAGTTTAGTCCCACAAAGTGGCCCCCCCCCAGTTATCTTCACTGCCTTGCAAACATTGTCGGATAGCTTGGACGTTTTGGGGACTCGTTTTGTTGTTTTGTGACCAGTTCCAGCGACATTGTCGGTTCTGACATGTTACGACCGAATTAATCTTAATCCCAATCCTAATCCTAATGAGTTATGTATATATATATATATATTATTGCATTATATTTTGTTACTATATATAATTCAATATCATATCATATAAGTTAATAAAGTATAATATAATATAATATAACATAATATAATATAATATAACATAATATAATACAGTATATAATATATAATATAATACTCCCAGTGGGTACGACCGGGTAAAACATGGTACTCTCTGGTAATTTAACATAACTATGGAAAATAACATTTTTTCATGGAAAAGTTCACTATAAATGGTGATTTTCCTGTAGTTATGTTAGTCATTACCAGAGGGTAAAAGCCTCAATCGTCAACCAAGAGGGGTTTTGAACACTGCTCTGAGGGATTCTGAGAGTAGGACTTGCCAACAGCCACCAGGCGCAGAAAAAGATCGGGGCGGGCTTTGGTCGTCCCAGAGTGTGGGGCGACCCAGGCGACCCAGTCGATGACAAGGGCTACCCTTGTCATGTTGAATGGTGAAATCTGGAAAACTGATGAGAAATCCATGATTTTTACCATGATTTTTACCATGATTTTTACTAGTGCACTTGGGAAATGATGAGATCCGATCAGACAAAACCAGTCGGGAGGTGAGGGGAGAATTCGACCGACTGAAGCAATCAGTCGGGGGCCAGGTGGTGCACGAAGAAACTGTATGTATGTGTTGTTATGTTGTTACGCGCTGTTATTTGCAATAAATATAATAAATGGCAGTTGATTCGAGTTCACAACTTTGATGCCCAACTGTTGGCGAAATTGTGAATGCGTTTAGTTCAAGATGCCCTTTATTGAAAGACTAGTCACTAGTGACTTGTCAAACAAGTCCCCAGCAATTCTTGGGTTGCACGACACACCTTCGATTTGCCCGGTGTGAAAAAGTGGCTTCAACCATGGCCTGGATATGCCTGGATTACGCAAAGGGGAAAGTAGTTGTTGGTCGGTTTCACACCTGGGTACCCTGTGGACCAATGGCCCAGTCTGATCATTCAGACTGAAATTATCTCCCTGCTTCATCACCATGCCATTCTTCAACATGTCATGTATCATCATGTACCCTCTGGTAAACTAACATAACTATGGATAATCACCATGTTTGATGGGAAAATCCATGAAAATCCACTATTTCTATGGTCATGTTCAATAGCTATGTTAGTCATTACCAGAGGGTATATCCTCCTGTAATCAACCCAAAGCTGGATTTTTTCCAGCTAGCCACCAGAGGATGACACCAGAGGATGGATCCCATGAGATCACCCAATCCTATAAAATCTCAAGGGATCCCATGCAAAGATCCCATGCAAATCACCATCAAATCACCATTAAATCACCATTAAATCACCATCAAATCACCATTAAATCACCATGCAAATCCCATCAAATCACCATTAAATCACCATCAAATCACCACTACTGTAAATCCCATGAAATTCTCAATTCAGCAACAGGAGAAAACTCCGTGTCCCGCATGAGATTTTCACCATCCACCCGGATGTTTCACGGCATCACAACCAGGACCTCAGTGGACTTTGACAGCGATGATGAATCCGTGATGTTAGGCCAGGCGATGTCAAGATGCTTGCGGTACTTCACTTTGAAGAACACGCAAGTTGGACAGATACATGAGTACCATAATATATATATATATATGTATACACACCATATGAATATCACATATACACATATACACAAAGTTTTACACATGTTAAACTTTTAAACAAGAACTGTATTTACATATATATATATATAGATATAGATATAGATAAAGGTACATAGGTTGATATGGGTAAAACCAAGGTCCCACCGCCGTTGATCGGGGTGTCTATGTATTTACCAATAAACTGTTTTGTTTATACAGACCATTACAGGAAATTTCTGATCGTCCTAGAATGGGGTGAACACTTATTTTTGTTTAAACTTCTAGGCAAACTCATGATGCCACGAGCTGTTTGAAAGGCTTTGTACAGAATACTCCCTGTTGCAACATATGATTATCCTAGGACAATCTCCATCTGACAGTTTTTCTTGGCGTCAAAGTCCTGGAGGCTGATGATGATCTCGGATACTTTATCCGAAGAGAACGGGATCCCATAAATATAAAGTAAGTGGCTTTGTAGTCGTGGATGGACATGGTACAAATACTAGACTACCAACCAGAAGTTCTATGAAATATCAAATGGCAGGTTATTTAACATAGCCATGGAAAGATCCACCATTTTTAAGTTCGGTAAACCTCTATAAATGGGCCATCTATACCATGGCTATGTTAAATAGCCAGAGGCTATCTATTTCGCTACTCCGCCTGTCGCCACGTCGCAGGAAGTGCTGTCCACAATTTGTCGATGTCTGTGGCCAACACGAATTCAACCAATACACCCTGAGACGCCACGGACAAACACGAGTCATGACGACCAGGATGTTCGGCGTGGCAACAAAAACCACGAAAAAACTCAGATGGTTGATGTTTGGATATCATCTAGCCCAATGTAATGGTAGACTGCCCCAAAACGATGCTTAGCAGAGTCTAGCATTTGTGAAGCCAAAAAAGCATAAATCTATATAAATCTAATCTAATCAGGTTTGTGATTTATTGATACTTATGATATCTATTGTGTATTCTCCGGATCAAATCGTTGGGGTTTGGATCATCGTTGATTGGAAAGCTGTTTTTTTGCGTGTCCATTTTGGACTGGGCCCTCCGGTGAATTTCAAGTTGTACAGCAGTTTTATAGCTGCCGCCCTAAGGGCTCGCAGCTTGACCGAGTTTTGGACTGGTGAGAAACTCCCAAGCCGAGGTTGGCGTTTGGAGGTCTTGAGTCGCTTCGGAACCAGGGAAACGTTCTGACATGTTCTGGGGGCATGTTCCACACGTTTACTTATGTAGTATATGTATTTGTTTGCAGATCCACAACTTGATTTCGATGAGGTAAGACGTGGAACATCTGACTCACAGCTCCAAATTCTGGCGTTCCTCTATTGATCCGACTGAACTGATGATACCCATTGATTTTCATATTTTTTGCGGATGGGTGGAGCAATTTCCAAGCATCCACGGATGCAAAGGCCAACAAACAGAGCATGTGAGGGACCCACAGTAGACTGACTGAATGCACCAGGTTCGTTGTTTCATGTGATACTGTAGCCTCTGGTTATGAATGATGGCAACAAAAACACAATTTCAGGGATCTTCCAAGATTATAAAGTATTGGGATTTGCCATTGCTACGTTTGATGACCAGAGGGATATGCAGATAACTTTCCCAGGGGCAAGTGAACTTCATTGCCAGCTTCTCAAGACCTTGCAGCCGAGATGGCAACGGAACTGCTAGATGGTCTTGAATAAGACCACCAATACATTGAATACAGATGAATCAGTACAAAAAAGGCAGGGTTTTTCAGACTGCTGAACCATCCCTTTTTGTTGGAAATCAGATAAATATGTGGTCCCTTCAACCACAAGATGGCTCTTTTTAGGCCCATTGGAGAAATTCCTTGAAGATCTGAAAAAAGGACGACGGCATACAAAGTCTAGCCAGTTATTTTGGTCACGGAGGCAGTGATGGCAATGGGGTCGCGATCCTGGTCTCGGTGCTGTCAGCATGGCAAGCCATTGGCTCCAGATCTTGCAATCCCATATGGTGAAAGATGCCACCCCTAAAACCCCGGGTTGGATGAGAATCAACGGAGAATTGCGTCAGCAGCAAAACAAACGTGACAACTGAGGGATGCCATCGGATTTACCAAAGGACCTTTGACTTAATGAGAAGGATTTTTGTTGAGGTAGAGTATGGATGAATATGGTAGTTTATGGCACTTATACAGCTATACATACATATCGTGCATTATGTGCATAACACTACCCATCATGGGACATCCTTGCAAACATGATTGGGATAGAAAAGAAAATGACATATCCATACATATCCATCAATCATCTTTACATGAATAGAACTTTCCATATGGAATTACTTTGAAATATTTGCCGCCGAGCCATGTTGCGTTCAGGCCTGAGTGTTTGTGGATGAGGGGGGCATTGTTCGACGTGGGTTTGGTGAAACATCAAAGCCCCCCAGACGCTATGGCATGTAATTAATTTCGATGTGGTTTTCTTTGTTTAAAAGCAACATAGCCATAGATTCTATGGATATTGACAACCACATTTTTTGTAAATATCTATACAGGAAATGGACCATTGTCCATAGCTACCAGTATGTTAGTTTACTGGAGGGTAACAGTGTTCAGGGGTGTAGTCCCTATTCTATTTCTGGGCAAACCCGCTTTGGACAAAAAAAGTGTGCCCTTTGGCAATCAAACTTAGCAATGGGAACTCATTCAAAACTGACTACGATAGGGTCAGTTGATGCCAGTTTCCCTTACCATGTTGGATTACTGGAGGGTAGATGAGCTAAGTACACCTAGATGGCTCAGCTCATTAATCGATTTCTAATAAGCATGACAAGAAGTGGCATATAGAGATATGCTTATTTAAAGAACAACAAGTTATGACTACTATGAGCCTGGACTACAGCCAATGAAAATGGAGGTCGATCCCGATATCTAAACCCTCGGTTGACCAATAGGTACAGTATAGAACTAGTAAGTATTATGAGGTACAATCCAGCTTAATGGCTAAATGTATCCAGTTTCATGGCCAAATCGAGAGTCAAAGTATATAGTTGACCATAGTTTACCCTTTGGTCTTCTGGTAAACTAACATAGTTTACATAGAAATTTCATAAACTAAGATACATTAAACTAACATAGTTTTTCTGGTCAACCAACATAGCTATTGAAAATCTCTATGTTTTACATCTGTTTCATGGCGAATTCATCACCGCACCTGCCGATTTCATCCGGCTCTTTTTGGAGGCGTCCAGTGTTGGGATGCGTCCGTGCGGCCGACGGTGCCAAGTTGCGGGAGTCGTCCCTATCGAGTTGGTGGAGACTCATAGAGAAAGCATTGGTTGGTTTACCCTCTGGTAATTTAACATAGCTATTGAAAATCACCATTTTTAATGGGAAAATCCACTATAAATGGCCATTTTCAATAGCTATTTTGACATAACCAGAGGGTATGTAGCTTTTGAACCCCAAAAATCTGTAAAAATTGTAGGATCTACATCATTTATATCATTTGGTTGACCATGTGAAACCATTAACAATGGATTAGTTATAGATTAACTATATATTAACATATATTAACTGGTTGGTGTTTTGTAGATTCATTTGAAGTTGTTACCCCCCCAGTTAACTAAGATAGCTATGGTATACGGATGAACATGGACCATTTATAGATGATCTACCTATCAAAATGAGTCTGGTTGGTGGTTTGGAACATGAATTTTATGTTCCATTTCATATATGGGATGTCATCCTTCCCATTGACGAACTCATATTTTTCAAGATGGTTACTGCACCACCAACCATACGAAACCATATGAAACCATAGAGAAACCATCGGGTTTTTCAGATCGGAGTTTTCCTTGGCTGTGAACCAGCCAATCTATGAGGCGTTCCTGATTGCGACGCCTTCGTAGGTCTTAATCATATCTGCAGAGCAACATCAATGGGAAGGAACCTCAGAGTGCGGGGAATCTCTCGACCCCATTTTTGCGCTCGAAAATGGGAAACTGGTTTGTGGTTTCAAACATGTTTTATTTTCCCTAATTTTTAATATATGGGATGTCATCCTTCCCATTGACGAACTCATATTGTTCAAGATTGTTAAAACCACCAACCAGGAAATTGTTCCTTTTTGCAACTTCTTCATGGCTCATGATCTCGGACAGTTTCCTCTCTTCATGGCTCACCATGCTATGAATGATGTTGTTCATCAAAATGATCCTCATGAATCCTCGGCTTTTCATACGTGCCACAGTCGAATACCTTTGGATTGTATACCTGTCTGTGGGGGGATGGTCTTTCTGAATACTGCTGTGCATTTTGATGTACACAGCAGAAATCTAAAGGATTCCCATGAAATGGCACGTATATCATCTGCTCCCATGAATACTCCATGACTTTGCTTATTCCGTGAAAATATCCCACAAAAAATCCCATTGTATCCCCTACCTTCTGGCAAATTATTACAGTACCTATTAAAATGGTGATTTTCCATAGCTACCTTAGTTTACCAGAGGGTAACTGTTTTGATGGGTTAAATCACATTAAAGAAAGGCTTTGAGCATTAAATCCCATTCATTATAGCATTAAATCCCATTAATTGTAGCATGAACATATCCCATGAAATCCCATTAAATTCCATTCTATAGTTATAGCATCATCATATAGAGCAAGATAATCATATCCCATTAAAATCCCACTTCCCTCTAAATCCTTATTTTGAGCAGGCTAGAACCCACGGGGCACCGGCTTTCCCAGCACCAGGCCAGGGTGGAGTCACTGACGGTGCTGCTGGCAGCGTGCAGCTTACTTTGTTCTGTACCTTGATAGCAGCCTTCGGGGGGGCAGTTGGTGTTGAACAGCAGAATGCTTCAAGTAATATGGGTATGGGTAATGAAGAGGTACCCTCTGGTAAACTAATAAGCTATTGAAAATGGTCATAGAAATAGTTGATTTATCCATCAAACATAGTGATTTCCCATATTTAATGTGGGTAAAACAATGTTGTAAACCACCCATGACTGGGAATGGTTTATAAATACCACCTATAAAAATGGTGATGACTGGGGGATGGTGCAAATGACATTATTTTAACCACATTAAAGCAAACGTGAACACCGTTTTGTGGATCCCCAGCTCAAGTGGTTGGTTTTTTCGGATTCTCCAACTTTATGATTTATTTCATCTTAGCTTTACTAAGTGATGTATGCTTAAGTATGGTACACCCCTCACGAAATGATCCCATTATTATACCATTGGTATAACTTAAGTATGGGATTATTAACTTGATTGAGCTTTATTGCCCTAGTTGGTTGGCTGAAACCACCGTCCAAAAAACTTGCGTCCGAAATGAGATCACCGGCGTGAGAAATCATGGGTTTTGTTGGTGGGTTTCAAAATAATCAAAACCTGGGAATCCCAGAGGATCCATGGTGCTGGAATATTTACCTACATTGACCCCTAAAGTAACTTAAAATAATCCCAACTGGTTGGTAAATATTCCAGCACCATGGATCCTATGGGAATATAATGGAAATATCCACCATATCCACCTATTTTTGTGACATGATATAACCATCCAGACCTGGGATCATAATAAATCTACCAGAAAACCTTAAGGTTTACCCTCTGGTAAACTAACGCCACGCCACGTTTAACTATGGAAAATCCAGCATTTTGTTCATGGCAAAATCCACGATTTCGCCATTTTTCAATGGTTTCTATGGTATGTTTGCCAGAGGCGGTTCGTCGATCCATCGATTCCATCGATTCTGGACAGGAGAGGTACATTGCTGAGAGCCTCTTCCGGCACACACGAAGTGTGGGCTGGCAAACACCAAGATCCAGCCACCTGGACCATGCTTTGATCGTCGTGAAACGTCGTGAAACGTCGTGAAACGTCGTGAAACGTCGTGAAACGTCGTGAAACGTCGTGAAACGTCGTGAAACGTCGTGAAACGTCGTGAAAAGTCGTGAAACGTCGTGAAACGTGAAACCTGAGGACCATAGAATGGTGCTGTTTAATTTGAGTGGGTGATTGGATTAACTGATCATTGGCGAAAAGGATCTAATAGGTATAATATTATATATATATGTGAATTTTGTGTTACATCTCACATCCAGTTTGTCCAGTTACTAGTTCCAACATGTTCAAGTTATGGATGGAATGTCATGTTCCACTTATATTGGGATATACAGGGACTAGTTTGAGTCCCTCAGGTGCTGGTCACAGGAATGATTCTGCTCAATAGGTGAAGTAGCCTCTGCATCCCTTTGTTGATCATGTTGGTGTTCCTGTCTGCATTAAACAATGGATTTGTGTTTAATAGAGATAGAAACACATACATAATATTTCTAATTGTTAATATTGTATATATTTATACGTATCTCCCTAACATGCAGAATCATAGACATGTACATATCATGTTTATGCCAGCGGGGGGAAAACTGTGCCAGTAGTCGTGCACGTTTTTGAAAACACGCATATGTTACTGGGTTTGGGGGTTGGGGTGTGTTAATGTTCATGTTAACTTGGGTCACATGCACATGCTACGTCAAGTCTTGGGTTGGGGGGTGGGGTGTGTTGACATTCATGTTAACTTGCGTCACATGCACATGCTACGTCACGTCTTGGGTTGGGGGGTGGGGTGTGTTAACGTTCATGTTAACTTGCGTCACATGCACATGCTACGTCACGTCTTGGGTTGGGGGTGTGGGGTGTGTTAACGTTCATGTTAACTTGCGTCACATGCACATGCTACGTCACGTCTTGGGTTGGGGGGGTGTATTAACGTTCATGTTAACTTGCGTCACATGCACATACTACGTCACGTCTTGGGTTGTGGGGGTGGGGTGTGTTAACGTTCATGTTAACTTGCGTCACATGCACATGCTACGTCACGTCTGGGTTTCCCCTTGCTGGCATCATAATTGTAGGATGCGCACGGATGTTGACACAGATGTAAGACAGAAACAAGACCTTGTAACCTGTCGACACTAAGCTTCATGTATCTTCATGTTGTGATTTGCTTTTCATAAAAACGGCCATACCATGAAATCTTGCAACCAGAGTCAACAGCCATGTGAACCCAAAACTGATGCGAAGCATCAGGGTGTGGCAATGGCGTTGGATGAACTCCAAGTCCAAAAACCTTTTGGAGGTCACTGGTCTCTCTTTGAAGAAACGCGTGGCGATGTGAGAGGGGGAAAACATCGCGCGCGTTTTGAAGAGCAAACTCCCTGTAAATTGCACGACATAATCAAAAAATCATTTCAAATTCCCGGGGAATTTTAAGCCTATATTGTGGAATGAATCAATAGTTTTGCTCTGGCGAAAACGACATTTTTTCAAAACGCTCAAAACTGCTGGCGCGGTTTCCCCCCGACGGGATGTTTATGTATGATGCTTACAGAATATATAGAATTCATATGTACCTAAGTTTTTATTGGTATACGGTACAGACATGTCATGATACGTGCGTTCAATTTTCATACAGCTAACAGAGTTTTTTAAATAAAAAATCAACCTAGCACATAGCAATGATTGTGTGCTTCAACAACATGGTATCAAAGTACAAGTGATAGTATATACGCATGTATATACATTGATTCTATTCATGATTGTTTGTATTGTAAAGTCCCATGAATTATATATATATATATATCAAATGATACCATTTTAGCTTGTACCAATCATTATATTTATATTATGTTTTAATTAGTTTACCTTACAGTATATTAGATTAGAATAGGACATAATTTAGCACATTTTTTGAAATCATATAAACATGTATTCAGTCATATTGATTATGTGTTGACATGCTAAAGTCTATTCTAGTATGTCAAACTATATAGATTATATTGATGTATATTCTATTGTGAATATGTCTATGGCATACTATATTATGGTTTCTTTCAGTGTACAATATCATATCATTTTTGCATGTTTCATGTCACATCATAGAATATATCAAAAAGAGCATATGTCATTGTACTCCAGCAAGAAGATATATACACAATACATTATGTAATGGAAGGTCTCCCAATTTCACAGTGCGTTCACGCCAAGGTGAGGCCTTACAAGCCAAGAAGCAGATCGATGAAGCCTTTCCCAGGCGAGGAGGATCTTTTTGTCAAAGCTGCCAGGAGCAACGAAGGTTGTACCCTCTGGTAATTTAGGATAGCTATTGGAAATTGACGTTTATAGTCATATAATGTTACATAATATACCGTATACCTATGAAACATTGTGATTTTCCATAGTCATGTTAGTTTACTGGCGGGTAGCTGGAAAGTCTATACATGTGACATGAGCAAGGTTAAGTCATGAAATGATCCATTTCTGCGGGAAATTCACTCTAAGTTTGTGTGAAACCGATGATTTGCTTGTGGAAATTTCCCTCAACTGGGGCTTGGAAGGGGAGTCACCAGTGTGAACCACCTCATTGGTGCTGGGGATGAACTCGCCTCTGGTAAACTAACATAGCTATGGAAAACAAAAACGCGTTTTTAATTGCAAAATCAAGTCCACATGGGCCATGTTCAATAGCTATGTTAAATTACCAGAGGATATATATATATATATATGAGTGGGTGCGTGTCTCATTCTCATTCAAAATGCCATATTTGGGATTTTGATCCAAATTTGCATAAATTTGTAACAGAGAGTGTTGTTTTCTGCGATGGGTTGAAGCCACCACGTTGGAGGATGCAAGTGTTTTATGCATTTATGTTCTTATACTTGTATGTATACATACATGGTGTCCAATATTTATTTTTTGTATATATACATGTTTTGTAAATATACACGCAAACCTGATATATTCGACTGGTACATATATTTACACATACCACGTAATGCATGTTATTTGCATTTCATGTTTCCATGCGTGTTTGGTACCATTTCCATTCCGACCAAGGCGCATCGCTGGCACCATTCTCATGGCAGTGGAGGCTTTGGCCGATACAAAAAAATCCTTTTTGATTACTACGATCGCTTTTGTTGGTAATTAAAGCTATTTGTTGTCAACTACCTATGCGGGCGGGCATTTGACATCATTTAATGTATAAAGTCAGCAAAGACACATGGATTTGACAAACAAAACAAAAATAATCGACCGACTGCGGTTGGATAGGAGACAGATAGAGATGGGTCATTTGTCCACCATTTCATACCAGTTTGTACGCAATTACTTTGTACATCTTTGTACCCTCATTTTTTGTCATTTTAAGTCGGGTCATGCCTTGTTGAGGTACAGGACGTTGAACATTAGGAGGCCGACCAAAACCTAGATAAATTACACGTTGTTGAACCAGCAGTGCTGAAGGTTCGCAATCAAGTCCTTAATATTCGGGCATTGCAGAGCAACGGAAGTACTCGGACAATCATTACATAGTCTAGATTTTGTTCATTTATTACTTGATCACTGATCAGCTGTTTTTATATATATATGTGCCCGCTGCGTTGTTTCTTTCCCTCTCTACTAACTGAGTCAGCATCATGTTGTTTAGGTAACCGTATTCCACACAGTTTGTAAAGGGATGTTCAGAACAAATCCACACGTGTTTGTCGAAAATTGGTGGACATTTCATAGCACAATAAATCAATTGGCATTGAGTAACTGCCCTATTTGGAGACAACCCATACAAATCTCAACAATGTCTGAAGAAAGCTTTTTTTTTTGCGGACCATCTTCTTCAACATACCCGCTTGGCGTTTTAAACAGAGGTTATTATGTTATCAACCATATAGGTGAATCTGTATAGACGTAACACATATGCTAATATGTATACATATATATACACACGTATATATATATATATACATTAGTTTCAATAAATTGGCCAACCTGGGGTAATACGCTAAAATCCATCAGCCAGGTATCTGGGGTATCTGGTCACTCTGGTTGTTGAATCTTCCAAGAATTGTAAATCGTTTAGCATCCATCTTTGTATTTATTTATATGCACATGTGTATATATATACACATATATATATACACACACACTTTATCTATATGTTAATCTATTTTTCCCCACCTGCCAGGTGAGGGTTGTTAGATTTTATGTCAGTTGCCTCCTCCTGCCTCGTCCTCCTCCTCCTCCTCTCCTCCTCGTCCTCCTCGTCCTCCTTGTCATCCTTGTCGTCCTTGTCGTCCTCGTCGTCCTCGTCGTCCTCGTCGTCCTCGTCGTCCTCGTCCAACTGCGACTCGCGATCCACAGTGTTCTCTGTCGGACCTCAACCACGACCATCCACGCCCAGTGTTCCCTGCCGGACCTCAACCACGACCATCCGTGCCAGTGTTCCCTGCCGGACCTCAACCACGACCATCCCCGCCCAGTGTTCCCTGCCGGACCTCAACCACGACCATCCACGCCCAGTTCCCTGCCGGACTCAACCCGAGTATCCACGCCAAGTGTTCCCTGCCGGACCTCATGTAGGAAGATATGCGGACAAAGAAATGTACAGAAGAAAGTTTAGAAAGAATGTCAGATAGATATGTCAGAAGATACGCCAGAACATATGCCAGAAGATATGCCAGAAGATATGTCAGAATATATGCCAGAAGATATGTCAGATAGAATGCCAGAAGATATGTCAGAATATATGCCAGAAGATATGCCAGATAGAATGGCAGATTGAATGCCAGAAGATTTGCCAGATAGAATGCCAGAAAATATGCCAGAAGATATGCCAGATAGATATGCCAGAAGATATGTCAGATAGAATGCCAGAAGATATGCCAGATAGAATGCCAGAAGATTTGCCAGATAGAATGCCAGATAGAATGCCAGAGATATGTCAGAATATATGCCAGAACATATGCCAGAAGATATGCCAGATAGAATGCCAGATAGAATGCCAGAAGATATGTCAGATAGAATGCCAGAAGATATGCCAGATAGAATGCCAGAAGATTTGCCAGATAGAATGCCAGAAGATATGCCAGAACATATGCCAGATAGAATGCCAAATAGAATGTCAGAAGATATGTCAGATAGAATGCCAGAAGATTTGCCAGTAAGAAAATGTATATATGTCATGGTGGGGATCACACGAAGTAAAGTAATTTAATATACACACATATATCCCATATGCATAAGCAAGCGGTTGATAATTTGGTATAATATACCCACATACCATATATAAGTGGGTGGTTGTTGGTTCTTCCCCACCCCGCTTCCGGTGCGTCGGGCACTGTTGGAGGCCCCACGCAACGGCACGGTGCTGTGCAGAGAAGTGGAAGATTTCGTGGCCAATGTGAGCAGCAAGGCGATCGGGTACAACCTAAGTCATTCGAGCCATCAAAAATGCCCGGTTTGTTTGGTTATTATCCGGGATTATACCAACTTGGTAATTAGGAATAATACCCTTAGTCCACTAGTGTTTGGGTACTAGAGCCATTCAAAAGATACTAATAGCAATAGGAATATTAACAGTAATCGAAGGAAGTTTGGAAGTCAAACTTCCGACAATATGGAGAGATGAAAAAGCAGTCAGCAGGGAGAAGAGTCAGAAGAGAAAAGATCAGAAGAAAGAAGATGCAGGTGCGCGAAAAGGTAGGAAAGTCGCGAAATACTGTGTTTTTTTGTGGTTTTGTGGCTCCGGAGGGTTGAAAAGTAGGCTCGCTAAAGCGGCGGGTGCGGAGACATCTGGGGAGATGAGAGATGAAAAGTTGCACGCCGTTGTGGCGCGAAGCACATTTGGAAGTAAAATGTGTTAAAAACTGAGGGGTTCGGACCACTTTTGGAAGTTGAGATGTCGAAAAAGTGCACGCCGTTGTGGCGCGAAGCACATTTCCAAGTCAAAATGTACAAAGCACACCATTGTCGGACCACTTTTGGAAGTTGAGATGTCGAAAAAGTGCACGCCGTTGTGGCACGAAGCACATTTCCAAGTCAAAATGTACAAAACACCACATGTTCGCGCCACTTTTGGAGGTTCAGATCTCGAAAAAGTGCACGCCGTTGTGGCGCGAAGCACATTTCGAAGTCAAAATGTACAAAACACTAGGGGTTCGGATTCCTTTTGGAGGTTCAGATGTCGCTTCGCTTCGCTTCGGGTCATTACACTACTCTATATACACTCCACTACACTACAGTACATTACACTACACTACACTCCACTCCACAACACTACAACTACAACTACAGAACTACACAACTACACTCCACTACACTCCACTACATTAAATTACAATACACTACGCCACATTACACTACACTCCACTACACTACATTACACTACACTATACACTCCACTACACTACACTACATTACACTACACTATACACTCCACACACTACAGTACATTACACTACACTACACCCCACAACACTACAACTACAACTACAGAACTACACAACTACACTCCACTACACACCGCTACACTAAATTACACTACACTACATTACACTACACTAGAAAGATCGATAGATAGATAGATAGATACATAGAAAATAGATAGGTAGGTAGGTAGATAGTCAGAGAAAGAGAGAGAAAGAGTGAGAGAGATCAAGCACCTTTCAGCCCATCAGTGGCTTCGCTGTGCCATCCCGGATTCACAACAACCAAGCTCTCCTATAGGTTTCCTATTTTTGAAACTTCCGCCACCGCCTTGTGCGGTACTACTGGTAGCAATAGTAAACGCATATATTAATAGTAGTGACATCAGTAATGATTTTACCATCAAATTGATGTTATCAGCAGATTTGAGCCATGATTCTCATTTGATAGTCATCGAAGGATGTTTAGAAGTCAAGCTTCCGACAATATGGACAGATCAAAATGCAGAGGTGGGAAGAGTCAGAGAAGAGAAGGGAAGAAGAAAGAAGATCAGAGAAGAGAAAGAGTCAGAAGAAAGAAGATGCAGGTGCGCGAAAAGGTAAAAATGGTAAAAAAAAGTCGCGAAACACTGTGTTTTTCCAATGATTTGTGGCTCCTTAGGGTCGAAAAGTAGGCTCGCTAAAGCTGCGGGTGCGGAGCCAGCTGGCCAGATGAGAGATGAAAAATTGCACGCCGTTGTGGCGCGAAGCACATTTCCAAGTCAAAATGTACAAAGCACCTCAGCTTCGGAGCACTTTTAGAAGTGAAGATGTCGAAAAAGTGCACGCTGTTGTGGCGCGAAGCACATTTCGAAGTCAAAATGTACAAAGCACTTCAGCTTCGGAACACTTTTAGAAGTTGCGATGTCGAAAAAGTGCACACTGTGTTGTGGCGCGAAGCACATTTCCAAGTCAAAGTGTGCAAGACACCACATGCTCCCGCCACTTTTCGACGTTGAAGCGTCGTTTTGCGTGGCAGGCGCAAGGGATTGTGCACCTTGTCAAAAGTGAGCAAAACGTGAGGGTTTTGTAGCATTTCCAAAATCGATGGCAGGCGTGGGACATTTGAAGAGGATCTGCAAAGATGCATTTTCCGTGCAGGCGCGGTACAAGAGACATGTTCACCAGAGATGTTAGGAGGTGAGGGCGCTGATTTCCTGGTTACATTTTGGAGCATCAGATCTTCAGTTTTGGGAAGATGAGTTTGCTGACAAGTGCAGCACTTCGTATTACCTAGCATCACTTTTTCGTGGCAAGCGCAGTACTTTAGACTGGTACGAGGGCGTCAGCTCTGCACTCAACTTTGCAGGAATCATTCGTTTTTGATGTTGTCAACTTCGAAATTTGAGGAAGTCTCGCAGACTTGTTTCGTTTTTGATGTTGTCAAGCTCAAAAATTGAGGAAGTCTCGCAGAATTGTTTCGTTTTTGACGTTGTAAAGCTCAAAACTTGAGGACGTCTCGCAGAATTGCTGCGTTTTCAAGCTTGCAGTTAGACAGACAGACAGGCAGACAAACAGATAGACGGATAGATGGGTAGATGGATAGATAGATAGATTAGATAGATAGAATAGATAGAATAGATGGAATAGAATAGAATAGAATAGAATAGAATAGAATAGAATAGAATAATTAGAATAGAATAGAATAAAATAGAATAGAATAGAGTAGAGTAGAATAGAATAGAATAGATAGATGGATAGATGGATAGATAGATAGATAGATAGACAGATAGATAGATAGATAGATCGATAGATCGATAGATAGATAGATAGATAGGCAGATAGATAGATAGATAGATAGACAATTACAACTAAAACAACTATCACTACCACTACGCTACACCACACTACTGCTACAACTACAAATGCAAATATACTACGCTACATTACACTACACTAATTATACTACACTATACTAATTACATCTAATTACACTACCCTACAACAATTACACTAACAACTACAACAACAACTACAACTACTACTACTACTACTACTACTACTACTACTACTACTACTACTACTACTACTACTACTACTACTACTACTACTACCACAACTACAAGTACAAGTACAACTACGCTACACTACACTACACTAATTACTCTGCAGCACGCTACAACTACCAATACAACTACAACTGCAACCACACTACATTACACAACACAACACTACACTGACTACATTGCATTACGCTACAACTACAGCTGCAACTGCAACTGCAACTACAGCTACAGCTACAACTACCACTACATTACACTACAACTACAGCTGCAACTGCAACTGCAACTACAGCTACAGCTACAACTACCACTACATTACACTACATTACGCTACATTACACTACATTACACTACACTACACTACACATACTACACATACTACACATACTACACAAACTACACTACACTACACATACTACACATACTACACATACTACACATACTACACATACTACACATACTACACATACCACACTACGCTACGCTACGCTACACTACACTACACTACACTACACTACACTATTTACACTACACTACACTACACTACACTACAACTATGTAAAACTACACTACCTTACACTAGACTACACTACACTTTACCACACTACACTAGGTGATGTGACCACTGCAACCATTGCAACCGCTCCAGAAAGCACAACCCAACCACCTTTCGGTCCACCAGTGGATTCGCTCTGCCATCCGTGAGTCACAACAACCAACCCGTCCTATAGGTTTCCTATTGTTGAAACTTCCCCCACCGCCTTGCGCGGTACTACTGGTAGTAGGATTAAATTACAGTGCTAACATCGTTTGTAATTTTACCATGCGCTGTTACAATAGCTCGATTTCAGGCACGATTTGGTGCTGGAAGAATTGCAGCAAAACGCGATATGGTGCACGAAAAAAAATTACAAACAACACGATATGGTGCATGAAAAAAAACAGAAAACAACATGATATGGTGCACGAAGAATGGTAAACAACAAACACGATTTGGTGCACGAATAAATGACGAAAAACATCACGATTTGGTGCATGAGTTGTGGGTGTTGCATGAGGAAATGCAAAAAAAAAATGTTCAGGTGCAAAAAAAATGTGCTATAGATTGTGTTTGTTTCCTTGTAAAATGGCAAAAAAACACGCATTGAAACACCAATTTGGAGCATGATGGATTTTGATATTTTTTTCAATGCCAATCCAGAGGTTGGCGCAAACCAAAAAAATGCGATGCTGAGCCAAGAAAACATCTTGAAATTGTGATCTGTGATGTGTGACAACCAAAAATTACTATAGTTGAGCTGGATGGACGGGCTTTGTAGTCCAAAGTTTCCTACGTGTTCCCAAATTGCCGTAATCCTTTTATGAAAAAAACGTGATTTCATGGTGCACCATTTTTGGGGTCTGTTTAGTAAGAAACCTTTTACTGATTGTTACAGAACAAGTAAAAACATCAACATATAATGGTAATTGATTGCCCTTAGTGTTTGAACATTGGTCTGTATTAAACACCCCGCAATATATGATCCCAGTCATATGTGGTTTCATATAGTTTCATCCCCTACATCCACTGTAGTGACTCTGGGGGATGTTGAACATGAACGGGGGAAGGGATTATAGGGGGTTGCAGTACACCAGCTGGGTACTTGCGGATCATTTTTTTTGAAACCTTTCAGCCAACAAGTAAATTATGAGATGGGATAGTTTGTTTTTTCATGTTTTATTTTATAGGTTTGTTCTAACCCCCATTGTATGGATCAATGGGATGTAACCAACCTAAACGGCGATTAAACCAGGCAAAATGGACATGATTGGAACAAAAATGAGGATCCAACGCAAGAACGGGAGTTTCGGGTTTTCCTGCAAGTAACCACCAGCATGTCAACGTAGGTCAGTAGTATCTAACAAAAACATAGATGGATTAAACCTACCAACATCAACCTTTCAGGATAAAACTCAACACACCGAAACTGTCCCCGAGGGTAAGGATCGAGCATAATAAACTCCTTCAAAGCAAAATGTTGACATACCCACCGTTTTTATGTAAATATATTGAGGTGTCCTCAAATGGGGGTACCCCCGAATCATCCAGTCATTAATCCATTTTAGTTTTGAAACAGCTATGGTTTACTTTGGGTTTCCGCATATGTACAAAAACGCCCCCCCAATTGTAAGTTGCTTATACCCCATTAACTAGTTCGTTAGAAGTATACTAGAAGTATCATAAACCAAAGTTATGCCATAGCTATCGGAGTTATGTTCACCACCTTCGTTATCGTTTGGGAGCCCCACCTTGTAATCGTCCAATCGGCCTCTTGGTGACCCATCAGGTCACCAGTGATGAACGCGTCCAGCAGTACAAACCACACGTGCTGAGCGCTCGGACGCAAACGTTAATGTCGTTGGGACGGTTCTGATATCGTTGGGATACCATTCTTAAAGGGCAGGGATATCAACCCTCAGTGGTTTCATGATTAAGAAAAAATAAGAACATATCAACTTAGGTGTGCCGGGGATTTACTTAACCATTTCATGTGCGCTGCAACCCTGACGTTTTTCCATGCTGATCCCGCATATCCTTTGACATGCTCAAATCCCTGCGCAGGGCTAGATCTTTGTTAACTTCCAAAACAATAAGCCCTAAAACCCTGAAAAAACACTCTACAACCCTAAAAACCAAACCCTAAAAACCTAACCTAAATCCTGAAACCTCAAATCAAAATCGCTGCGTACAGCCAGCTTTTTTGTTGTTCATCCTCTTGTGACAAGTATATGATACTGTCCGGGTGTGCTATGCGGCGGAGAAACGTCCGGGTTGGGGCGAACATGTAATTTGAGTTCATCAAACCATTTACAGTACCCTCTGGTAAATTAACATAGACCCTGGCAGATAGGGTTTGGAAGACTAGTTTCCATTAAAAAATTGTGATTTTCAGGGTCTATGTTTATTTGCCAGAGGGTAATGATTAGTAAAGGGCTATATGATGATCGACCATGCTATGCGGCGCAACGGGGATATATAAGCAACAAACATAGACCCTGCCATGAGTTGGGGTTTGGAAGACGACCTTCGTGCAACATTGGCCGTTTTCAGGGTCTACGTAAGAGTTTGGGGGATGGTCATGGGGATATAGTTGGGATATGATGGGGATAACATTTTTAATAATGCCAATATACAGCCAATACTTTACTTTGGAACATATTTCCGCAATTCGTGGAGGATTAGATACTTTTTTTGTTTCGGACAACTGGATACAACTGGTTCCTTTGCCATACATGGGACATGTGTCCTGCACCTTTCTTGTCGGCAATTTTTCCCGAGAGGATGATCAAAAACGCCTTAAAACATCAGATATCCGCAGACTGGTTGGTGTAATTTGTTATTGATTGATTTGTTTTAATAGGTTCTTAAAAAAAAAGCCTTGGGCGCGGTACTTCTACTAGGTCATGAAAAAGCAACTTAGTGGTCAGCAGTCCGCCTTCATCCCAGTGAGTAGTGCATAGGTGTGTCACAAATATCGTTGCTAGATGTTGTTAGCCAGTAACTACCCTAGACCTACAGGAATTTGTCACCTGATCATTGTACTAGTTACTGTAGTCGAACATGCTCATAAAATCTCATAAATACATGTACATTTAGGTTTTTTCATCACCCACCAATGGTTGTGAATCATCCGCTTACGATTCGTTGCTCAATGTGTTCGAATCCTGCAAGACAGGGATTCCCACAAGCGGATGACCAAAAGAGACTTGTCTCAGAATTGGATGATGGGAATTAGTGCAGGAAAAAACAAATTGTTGGTTTAAAAAAAACATTACGAAACAATTGTTTAACCTATGTATTCATAAATTTCAACATAATCAAGAACAAATTAGAACAATGGTATTCCCTGTAGGTTTCCCCAACAATCCACCCCTCCTTGACTCGACCGGGGTCATACCGGGGTCGAGGTTATTGGACGGAGCTGGGGGATATACCTTCCAGCGTGATGTCTCGCAAGGTGCGCGCTCGGGGATATGTGGGATGATGACTTGTACCCCTAAATCATCCATTGATGGACTTTCCATGAAATAGACATGTTTTCCTTTGACTCCATATATTTAGAGTGTGGGATGAATGGAAGAATTAACAATTACAATCAGGATTGATGGGATATAATGATGAAATAAGATGAAATAAGAGTATATATATAAAGTATAAATTGAAGATATGTGTGAATTATTGGTTCTTCAATACTTTGTCTTTTTGCTGCAGATGCGCAGTGAATTCTGAAGCGTTTCCAACTATGCTTTGGGTGGTATGATGGATCATCCGCAACAACATGAGGATGCCAATATCGATCCTCTGTTTTACTAGAATTTGATCAATCTAATTTGTTAACATAGTGATGTGAAATCGGCCATCGATACTAGTTTTACTAGTTGGTAAAAAAAAAGTCTGTTGGAAACATGATCAACCAGTAAAAACAGCTTTAACCAACAAACATGACTGGTCATTTGCTATGGGGTTCCAGGTGATCCACAAGAAAGTTGGGAGAAACTTCCAGTACTTCATGGTGCAGCAAATGGAAATCCCATGAAATCACCATGACTTCAAGTGCCCAATCATATGATATCATAAATTAATTATATCATATGTCTTTCTGTGGAATGTCCATTGGAATAATATGTCTTTGCTGGAGATTACGGAGATCTGACATGCAGAAATATCCTGATGTATTATGCTATACTCTTGGCAGCCATGCGGCTGGATGCTTGGTCTTCGCGGTATGTTGCACATAATTGGGGGATGGCACCCTTTAGAAGGGTTATATATCCTCGTACAAGTTTCCCTTAGGATTTCAGGTGAGTCAACCCCCTGTAAGGATGGTTATATAATGTTTTAATGTTATGTATAAAGTATAAACTCAAACTCTGTGGACATCTTGATTGTCCCCCCAACTCTGGGCCATCGGCAGGATTTCATCAGCGCAGACGAGCGGATGACCCTGCTGCTCATTCAGTCGCAGGACTCAGGATGCAGAGACCAATGAGTCGCAAGCAGAAGAGGTTGATTGTCATGTCAACCCCCAGATGAGACTAGACCCTGACTATATAAAAATTGGGGGGTTACCTCACCAAAAAAAGGGACAGTCAGACAAAGTACTAGAAAAGTTGGTACCCCCTACCTAGTAAGCTGAAATATGATTAATCCTGGGTGAACATCAAGTGATTGATGGTTTCCAACTTCATGGCTCCACCTCCATGGTCTCCTTGATGCGATGTGGCGATGTGTCGCGGCCGAGGCCTACGAAGATCCCAGAGAACCACGATTTCGCGAAAGCCAGCCTGGCAAGAGATTGTCAACACGGGTCCCCGTTCGGGAGCAACTCAGAAATTTATCCACATAAAATTTTGCGAAATCGGTCCCAAAGAAGATATGGACGTGCAGGGGTGCCGAGGTATATGATGAGAACCGGAGAGAGAAAGAGAGAGAGAGAGAGAGCTATGAGAAAGTATCAAAAGTGGTAGACCATGACCAAGAAGTTCACATGATAAGCAGATTCTATTTTCCGGCTGGTTTTTTGGCACAGTTGTTCTGGCAAAGGTTCGGTGTTTTGTGTCTTGCCTAGATATTCCCCCATGTTGTGCTTCTTCTGTGCATGGCCACACAAGACTCAGATTTGTCAAAACATGTTGTGTTTTCGAGTGCAAACAAGCCTGACTCCAAGCATGTTTGAAACTCATTTTCCAAAGGATGTTGGAGTTCATTTAATGTATCAATACGTATAGTAAGCATTTTGCTTGGTTCGAGCTCAACACGTTTTCCATAGGGCTAAATCGGCCCTCTTGGTTGCCAGTCAACACGAGGTCCTAACCATATCCATTGGGGGTTCTTTTTGTTCAGCATCTGATTTTCACAGCATCCCTTGTGATCAGGAGTCTCCATGGCATGTCTCTCCACATGGTCAGATTTCTGCACTGGATCCCTCTGGTATTTGATAATCAAACGTGGCGGAAAAAAATCCCGAAACTGTAAATGGAGGTTTAGTTGGCTATGGATCACCTATAGATTAGATACAATTTTCAGGGGATGGACATCCATTTGCCAGCTATATTGGGGTTCACCGGTTCACCAAAGTTATAGTGGTTTGACACATCCCCAGTTCAAAAATCATCGAACTAAATGGTGTTCCAGGATTCGCCACGTTGACAGGCGAACGACTTCTTGCAAGACTTTTGTTCGTCGCCACCTCTGGGTCCCTTGTCGCAGCAACTTCAATCGGCCAAGTGGACAAAGTGTAGGTTTAGTATCCTCCCGGCAATATCCCATACAAAGCAAGGAGCTCGGGCTCCCAAAACAACCGAGTTTTGTACAAGCACTTTTCTCTACAAAGCTTGGATCTCATGCTCTGACATTGATGCTAAATTAACAGTTTTTTTTCAACATAAATGAATCCTAACTTTGTAGAGGGGTGTTTTTGAGCCTGATGTGAAAATTTGCAAAACAATAATAACCTATATCCAGCTTTGTAGAGCCAGACCCTTCTGATTTTCAATCATTTTCAACTTTGTAACCCAAAGAGATTTCATATTTTCACCGTTTGAAATTTGTAGTGGGAGTGGGTTTGTTTGTAGGAGTAAACATGTTGAGGTTTGTAAGGTGTAGACTTGTCCTTGTTCTGTAAGTTTGAACTTCGCAAAGGGCCGGTCACCGTTGCTGTTTTTTTCCTGCTGTGAGAGAAGATTTTTCTCAATGATTTGATGAGATTTTATGTTTTTATGACATATATTTTGACTATGAATGAATGAACAAAAAGGAAAAGTGAAACAAAGTGAGGGAAACAAGTTAGAGATGAGCTGATGCGAGTTGTACAGAAACAATCTGAAACAAATTCAAACCAAAAACTTGGGAGCAAACGCATAAAAGAGACAAAAACATGTGTGCTGCCCGCTGGCGGCGAGATTGGGATGACTTGAAAAAATGTGCAAATACAAAGCTTAAAAAAAATATTTTATTGGGGTTTTTGAGCTTCAAGACCTGATGCTACTTTGGCATTTTTTTACAACAAAAATGAATCCTAACTTTGTAAAGCCTTATGTTGTGAAAAAAACACCAGTCATAGAGCAACCTGGGGTCTCGAGCTTTGTAAGGTTTACATTCCATGATGGGTCCCCTGTTTCAACTTTGTAGAGGCTAACAAACACCTGATACTACATTTGTGGTTACAAAGCCCGGCTCCCAAGTTACCCATGGAATTCACAGGGGGGTGGTTTAGTAAGGTGATGGTTTTGGTCTTAGACACATTTGGGCGGAATAAGATGGAATAACATGATGACTATCCTAACATGAATATGCTTTGTTTTTTCTATGGTATCTATGGTTGGTCATCCTGTGGGCTAATGATTTTCATCGATGATTGGATGGAATGGTTTCAATTCTTTTCCATGACTTGACCGCCATTTTTCTCATCCTTTTTTCCCAAATGGAGTGGATTGAAACTTCAGAAATCTCATGTTCCCTTCCTGATTTGCCAGCCCTGGTAGTTTAGCATCACGAACAGGAAACTCACCATCATTCCGAATGCTAAATCATCATAAATATCCACAAACTATGGATTTTCCCGTATGTTCCCATATTTTCCCCACGGTCCCCGTGGTCGCCAGGTTTCAATCTGCACATCACGGGCGCACCGGCCCTGCTGACGGGCAGCGGCTGCTCCTCCAATAGCCATGCCGTGGTCAATCCGCGGGACTGAGCCGGGGGCGTTGGATTTTCTGAGTCAGATTCGGACTCAAGCAACACACACATATGTAATCATAAAATATAATACAATATAAATATATATATATTACATATATGTATATGATATATATATATATATTACATAATACATATATATATATATTACATACATGTACACTATATATATATATTGCATATAGATAGTTTATATATATATAGTTTAATTTTACATATAATATCATAGCATATGATCAAGTATATTATTACATATATACATATAGCACATATCATATAGATTCAAAGCTATATACTTACACTATATGATGCATATTTGATGTACGTTCTTTACAATATGTATATACATCATGTGACAAATTATATGTATATACACTAGTATACACACAATATATTAGAATAATAACAACAGGTGAAATGGGTGCATCAACCAATCATTTGGCTGGTGGATTTAATTCTCTGGGGTTTCTGATGGATGCATCTGTAGTTCATGGGGGTGATGACTACTGTAGTTGGTGCCCCATAACTAGGCTAAGTATGGTTAATGCATGTTTATGCTGCATATAACTTTAGTACATGGTATTTCTAAAACCAGCTTACAATTGGATGCAGCCCTGGTATACAAAAGGGAGCAAGTCCTCGAGAGGACATGAGCTTCAAGTGTTTGTTCTTTGCCGAAGTCATCACAACGCCCATAGCGCTGCTGATTATGGGATGCATCGTGCGTCACTGGCGCCTACTCATTCTTCCATTATTCACGGCAACCTGGATTGGATTGTGATTTAAGGGTGTCTGTCACTGGGGTAATTTTAGGAACAACTTTAGGCAACGATGTTTCTGCTGCATTTTGAACATCCTGACCTAAAGGTTTTCTGCAATTGCTCCCTGAAGCCAATGCGGGCATTCCAGTCCAGTGACCGTGGTGATTGAAATTTGAGCAACCGAGCCTTCCAAAACGCACAAAGCTTTGCTGAAGAGAGGTCTTTCTTATCGTACAGTTGCCACAAGAGGAGATGAAAGCTATTAAGCCACAGTTGAAAATGGTATGCGTCACATGAAACGGACAGTGCGGCTGAATTAGCGGCTGATCATTTCTAAAGTGGTTGATCTTTCCAGGCGCATTCCATACATTGGCTACGCGGCTACATTCTCATTTTAGGGGTGATGCCTCCCCGAAGGTGACCCAATCGCAGTCAGAAGAAGCAGCCCTTTGTTGATATCTCCTGGGGTCTTGCCGTAGAAATAGATGTGGAGTTTACCCATGGTTTTCCGGAACAGGATCTACATTCATGGTGGCTTTTCCAATGTTTCCCACATCAGTCGGAGGGTCGGAGGGGTGTTTACCGCTGATCATCCAAGGGAGGTCACCTTGGGTAGGGATGCTGTTTGAATCCCCACTTGGGGGTGTATCCCAGTGGCTACCAAGCCGTTAAAAATGACTGGGTCCCATGACGAAGTGTGTTATTTGTGGACAATTTCCGTCGGTCATTGTTCAGATGGCCAACAGGGACGCACATCTCATCCCATCCCCATTCTGGTCTATATCCCAATATGGTTGACATGTTTCTTCTTTTCTGGTTGGTTATTAGCAGTTATATCCCCATAACTCCCAGTTGAAGTCTTGGTTATATCCCCATATACCGGTACATTTAATTAGTTGATGTGCATCCAATATTGTCCATTGTAACCATTATATCCCAATGATATCCCCATTAATATCCCAATGTTCATTGCTTAACCCATTTTGTGTTGGTTAAATCCCATTTGCCATTCCAATAGAATCATTGAATCAGATATATGAGTTATATCCCTATGAATCCCAATGAAATAGTTAGTCATGCCCCCTTCCCGTTTATCAGAATTCCCAAATACTTTTACGATTATATCCCATTATTTTGTCCTCACATGTTTGTGTTTTTTTTCAAATCAAAACGTGTGTATATATATATACACATATAATATCCGCATGATATCCCAGCGTTCATTTGTTCACTTTAATTTGCGTTTGTTTCATTAGTCTTCCAGCCCCGAAATCTGAAAATTTTCTCGGTGTGAAGAACCCCATCCCGCGTATCATAATCCCCACATATCCCCTATGGGCCAAGCATACTTGGTTATATAGCAATTCATGGTATCCCCAAATATGATTGGTTATAGTAGAGTTATATTTGGGGATATTTGAGGATATAATCAATCATTTAACCATTAATATGCTATCCCCAGATATATATATATATATAGCGCAGAGTTGGTTATATCAATTCATGTTATCTCACTTGATATCTCCAAATATCCACAAATTCTCAAAAATTGTCCCCTGAACGTTATATCCCATTTTGTCATATATACCCGTTTTTTTCATACCATTTATATCTCTCCTGACATGAAGCTATACGCTGTTAGCATCAGGGATGTATCTATGACATTATAGTTAGATTATATTCCGTGATGCTAATATTATATGGGAATCTGTTAACTGATATAAGGATATAACATTACATGGGAATATACCCTTATATGCTAAATTTATATATTATTAGATTCAGGATGACATTATTAGACTATATTCCCATATATCCCATTATGTCATAGATGTTATTATATATCACCTGAACACCTGATTATAGATACCCCTAGTATACTCCCATTATATCCTTTGCTACTCATTAACTATTTGATTTGCTAATCATTAACTATATGATTTTTTGTTTAAAGAATCTTTGCCAGATTATTCATAGTTAGATTATTTATTATAGTTAATCAGATCTGACCTTAGTTAGACAACATATATGCAATAACAGATTATTAGTGTGATATATTCAGATTATTCATGACAGATAATCTGAATATATTCATAAATTATTCAGATTAATTCATAACAGATCATCACTTATATACTGGTCGGTGGTTTGGAACATGTTTAATTGTTCCATACCTTGGGAATTTCATCATCCCAACTGACGAGCATATTTTTTCAGAAGGGGTAGGTATACCACCAACTAGTAATTATTAAATGTATATTGATATTGATATATGATATATGATATTGATATTGATATTGATATTATATATGGGATAAATGTATAGCTAGGCTTGATATCATAATGATTAACGAGATAATTCATACCCTCTGGTAAACGTTTACATAGCTGTGGAAAATCACCATGTTTCATAGGTAAATCAACTATTTCTATGGCAATTTTCTATAGCTATTTTGACATAACCAGAGGGTATATCCCATTATCATCCCATTCTTCACCATTGTTAACCCATTGTTATACCATGAAATCACCATTTATAGTGGTTAATCACCATGAAACCATTAAACCATATTAAACCAGGTACCGGCGCTGATAGCGGACCCGGTGTTTTTAATGTTTTTTTTTTTAGTTTAAGCATTATGTATGGATTTGTTTAAAACTGTGGCGCCGTGACGATTTTGTTCTTTTACCCAGAATTAGAAATGTTGTTTTCGTCCCACGTTACGCTAGGAATTTATTCATTGATCATTGAATTCTATTGGGCTAAATAATTGACAAATGTGGATTTTGGAAAACGAAACCTCCACAGCTTTTGAAGCTCGACTTTTTTCCTTCATGGATTCAGGGTTTGCGTTTGTTAACCTTTGCACACAAGTTGGCGAGGCTTCCTTTCAAGTCCTCCTTGTGGTTCCAACGATAGGCGAGGGACCACACATATTGTTGGATTCTTTGAGAACCCTTCCTGGTAACTTTGTCTTTGCTATGGACCGAGAAGGGTACGAAGCGCTTCAGGTGGCGCCAGACCTGGTCCAGCAACTGTGTTCCACTGATGCGTACCTTTTGTTTGACTTTGGTTTTTCGAGTGAACTCCATCTTGTAGTGTGTCACATCGCGGAAGCAAAGGCGATGCCGTTTGCACTCAGATTTCCAACTTTTTGCACCATCCCCATATACAGTGCAAGGACGTTTCAACTGCCTAAGAAATCCGGTTTTTCGAACATCTCGCAGAGACTCTGTGGCAGGACATGATCCAGGCTGCAACAAGATGTGATCGAGTTGGCACAGAAGCAAGTGTCCTCCTTCTCCACGCTCCACGCAACCAGCCCAACGCAAGTGTGTGAGGAAGTAGATGGGTAATGGTTTCTTCTTGCGTCCTGAGAACATGTTACAGCGTAGCATCCAGAGCGTCTGGCAAGTGACAAGAGACGTGTTACAGCGTACCCCTTGCCCCCCCACCCCACCCGGTTCCCCAAGAAAATCACACTATGCTTCGTGCAATACTTCTAACTGACGTGCAATACTTCTAACTGACGTGCTAACTAACGGGCAATACTTCTAACTAACGGGCAATACTTCTAACTAACGGGCAATACTTCTAAGTGACGCGCAATACTTCTAACTAACGGGCAATACTTCCAACATACGCGCAATACTTCTAACTGACGGGCAATACTTCTAACTAACGGGCTACTTCTAACTGACGGGCCATACTTCCAACTGACGTGTAATGCTTCTAACTGACGTGCAATGTGACAGCAAAAAAAACAGCAAAACCTGTGGGACCGTTAACAGCGCCGGTAGCTTAAAGGTACCATAGCCACGTTAGTTTACGAGAGGGTATGTTATATCCCCTGACGATCTCCCAGGTATGTCTCTCCTTTGCCGTCTCTGCCTTGATGTTGATCCCCTGGATGGACCATGTGGAGGTGGCCCGGCCAGCCTTTGAGTTGCTTAATGATGTAATGGAGATTTAAACAAAGGGAGTATAATGGAATACTACTGCAATATTAAATGCATATATATATATATGATTATATAAAATATGTATATACACACACATATATAGATACATATATATATATATGTATGTATGTATATGTATATATATATATATACGTATTATATATATATATGTATATATATATATACATATGTATATATATATGTATGAGTATATGTACGTGTATATATATATAATGTTAGTAATGTTAGTAGAGCCATGTCATAAACTACCCATGATTTTGGAGGGTGTGCACAAAAGATGGTATTGTTGGGGATGGTGGATCTCATTGCTTTACGAAAAGTATGAAAAATATGGGCATAGAAGAAAACACCATGGGGATTCACATTGATCATAGATATGTTTTGCTTGGAAGTCTCTTGTCAATGAGAGAACCCTATAACCAACATGAGACTGGCTGACAGGGGGTTAGTACTGACACGTGGAATATCGCCCATGTCGGTTTGCGTGATGGACATGGGCAAAGGATCGTGGACATTTGCAGAAAGGGGTTGGACCAACTGTTTGCAGATCGTGGACATATTCAGCCCATTGGAATTCAGAAAAGGGAAGTGAAAGTCTGAGTTGAAAATACATGGTTTACATTCATAAGCTTTGAAGAGCCAAGATCTGCAGTGAAAGTCCCTGAAGTGAACTTTGACCACCTGTTGACGCGGCATTTAACAGGCTACATAATATCATGTTCCGGCTTGATTTGGTTATCTCATTTGTAAGATTTTCTCTTGTCATAATCTCAAAATACCATGTTCACAATACATTTTATATTTGTTCAGTAGATCTTGACATTGTTCATCCCATTCCAACAGCTGGAGTCGGAACGCCTCCACAAAAAGCATTCAGGTGCCAACGGATGCCATTGCGGCCATGGGCTCGGTGATTCTGGCCCTATCTTTGGCGCCTCGGTTGGGTAAACCGCCAGGCCTTTGAGGTGTTATTGATTGCTATTGGTCATTTGACATCATTGATGGATGTTTATGGTGCAATGGTTTAAATTTACCCTCTGGTACTTTTTCGCATCCATAGCTATTGAAAGTCACCAGGTTTGATAGGTATATCAACTATGAATGGCAATTTTTAATAGTTATGCTAGTTTAACAGGGGGTATAATCCCCAAATATATGGTGATATACTTGTCATGATCTATGATTTAGCATAATGTGGAGGTTTCCTAAGTGGGGATACCTGGGATACCCCATTTGCATCATCCAGTCGTCATGGATGACCATGACTTAGTATTGAAACAACCATGGTGACTTGGGGGTCCCCCATGACTCAAGACATCCCCATTCGACAGAATCCGCAAATATGGCTAAATAAATTACATTTCCCGATGACCATGGCACTCATGGCACTTAATTGGTACACATTATATAAGAATCAATGGTCTTACCAAGGTTGTTATTTCTGACTTTAAGACATTTTTTGTTGATGTTGATTTTTTTGGCGTTGTCATTTGCAACCCCATATTCCGGAGCCGGATGGTTTGCATATATTTACATCTTTGTGGGTCGAACCCTGTCCCGCAACTAAGGACTATAGTCTCTTCTTGCTGAGCCGCGCCTGAACCGCAAACGCAACCGGGAGGTTATGGGCAGGTGTGGTGGTAAAAATACGGCAAATGTATGTAAATGCGTATGGGTATGGGTCGGAATTTTAGTACACGTGCCGTAATCCAACTCGGCAGTGGGAAATGAAGATCTTCAGGTAAGTCATTTGAATGTGGTGGATGTGTTGGAAATTCCATTGTCATATGGTTTTCATGAGGGTTCCCCAGCGTTCTGTATGATCTACTGAGTCTATGTGTACGCACGATTCAAAGTCTGTTCCAAGGTCTGTCTCATTGGGAACTCCACATCCCCAGGGTTTACAGGCCATAATTTGGGGTAGTTTTCATTCGACAACCCAAAAAAACTTGACATGTTTAAAGTCCTTTAAAGAATTGTGGTCTATGAATGTCTATGATAATATCGTCACCATTTGAATGTGACAATCTGATACTACCAATCGACCAGTTTGGATCAGACATCTGGATTTAGACAGCGAATTTGCTCCGTACATCGCGCCGGGAAGTCGTAAAGGACTCAAGTTGGATTGGTGATATCGATGAGTTGGATTGGTGATATTGGTGTCAATGAAATACCCTTTGGCTATTTGTTACATAGCCATGGAAAGATCCACCCATTTTTAAGTTCGGTAAACCATCTATTTCTATGGGCCATCTATACCATGGCAAACTGTTAAATAACCAGATGATAACAACCCAAGAGAGAGGTGGCTTTCCACTGGGCCATGGCGGATTTGTGACGGAAGATGCTGTGTCGACGACTTTGGCCATGACGGCCATTTCGGCCATGCATGATAGAACACACTGTTTACGACCTTGACAGCCCCATTTGGTGCTTGTTTGCTGTTTCCCAGGAGTATTGTATTCAAAGACTGCAGCTGTAGTTTTATCACAACTCAGGTTTCAACTTGGATGGTAATCTCCAGACTCCTATCTCCGAATGGTAAACTCAGCCTGGTAGCTCTATATAAGCCACCGACCCATCAATTTGCCCTGAGGCTTCAGTGAGAATCATCACGACAAATTCACCTTGCAGGAGAATGTTGACATTATCAAGGCATGGAAGCGGGCTTAACCAAGAAAAATGAGGTGATGTTTTCATATGTTTGATTGGATGTGATTGGATTTGATATGATCTAGTTGGATAATGTTGGATATAGAATGTATATTCATTATGTACTGCATGCATATATATATATATATATAATCCATTATAATCCCATCAGAGCCAGAGCCACCATGTTTTTTGGTTGAGGAGGAAATCACAAATGACTGGGACCATTAAGCATAAGGGTGTTTAATTTGAACGGTGGATAAGACTATTTTAGCCAACCATAAATCAACGCGGGGTATGGAACCAATGATGTTCCATTCATTAATAATCATTAATCCTACTATTTTTTTAAGAACCTATCAATCCACATTAATCATCATTAGTATCCATTACTGTATAATCATCATTAATCAATCCCATGTATCCCATTACTCCATATTCATATCCATTCAATCGCATTGAAATCATGACTTTTTAATATGACATGATTACTAAATGGCTAACATCATTACTAACATCATCGTTAACCATATTATCCATTCACTAATCATCATTAGTTTCCACCACTCATCATTAATCCATTAATTACTCCATTAATCGATCAAGGGATACTATTGATGATTACTGGATTAACCAATAAATTTATTCATTGATCCACCAATACCATTAATCCACAGTTTTGGTCCTCCTCGACCTTTCATCGTTGATGGGAGGCCTGCACCTGTCGCACCATTTCCATCAGCGGGCTCCTGGTGGCCATCGCATTCTTCGCAGGTTGGAATTAGTGGATGGAACGGGGATAGAATGGGAGACATTACAAAACGGATATGTATCATACATCGTTATATATATATATACATATATATATATACATAATTATATATACACACACATATTATATGTGTCATATATATATATACAATTATGTATCATACATAAAATATAAATGTATATATGTATAATGTGTATATATATATATACACATGTATGTATAAGTATAGTGGATATCTAATGGATATATAACCAACACGATGATAGTTTGGCGTGTCTGAAATTGGGTATTCATAGTGATTCACCAATGGATGGAATGGGGTACATTGTCCTCAGACAACACAAATGAGGTGTCAATCATATAAGTATAATATATATATATTAATCTAGCTACTAGCGAAGTTGGTCAAGAGCCAGAGTTAGTGATTTCTTCAGCAACACAGAGGGGGTTATTCATTAATATTGATGATTGATACACATCTATATTATCTATATAACTACGAATAGTGCATGAAAAATACCAACCAATGATCGGGATCGGTGAACCTACAAATGCACATAGAAGTTGAAAACCACGGTATTTCTTCCCGGCATAAATGGATAAGTATTATATATATATATATATATATATGTATACATATAGAATTATATATAATTACATAGGTAGCAATCTTCCTAACATTTTTGGGGCGAGCTTCCCAAATTTATTTTTTGTTGCCAGTTCCGCTTTCACGCACCAACATCCTCCCAGCGGCAGGTATTCTATTGCCTGAGAGAAACCTCCAAGGCACTTGCATCGCCTTGGGCTTTGCCGTTTTGGCCTGTGTGGCCACGAATGTTGTGCCTCTGAATAAAACAGCAAGTTTACATGGGCAAAGACGGTGTCCCTGATGTCTTTTGGAAATTTGGGAAGTCAAAGTCGTCACGAAGTCAAACTCGTGGAATTTGCGGAGTGCTGAACTCAAGCTCCATCTCTGGATGGGTTTGTGCTAAAATTGCAGACCCACAGACTCACACAAACCATGGTATACACAATGGTATACTGTATTGGGTTGTCAGCCTTGAGGATATACAGTTGGCAGACAACCAACAAAGACTGGGACCTGACTGGGACATGGGGACCTTTTACCAGCAGGGACCTTGGGCTTTCCCAGCAGCACGCACTTCGACAACTGAGGTATTTCTTCCAGCTGTTTTCCTGGCCTTCGGTCCTGTGTTCCCTGGATGCCAGCTGTACGAGTACCCATCAATGTATGATTTGTGTGGTCGCCTGCATGTGTTCAAACATCCCATGTTTGTATATATAATATACTGTATGCAATGTAATATATAATATCACCACCCCTTTAGGCTAATTGCAAGCAGGGGGGCGTTCCAAAAATGTAGATTGCAATTTTGCCCCCTCGGAATTTGACCGCAGGGGTCATGCTAATTGCAAGCGTGGACCCCCCCAACGTCAGAAGCCGAAGCCTAAAGTTTTTACATTTAGAGAGGGGGGGATGAAAAATAAAAGCACGTAAGAGACCGGTCACCCCGTACCCCCCCCGAACCTACCCCCTCCGGACATTATGGAAGGGGGGGGGAGGGAGGTAACAATTGTAAAATGTCTGACGAATTGTCCGAAAACAGTCTCCAAGAAGTTTGCAGATGTTTGCAATCAACCTACACCAAAGGTCCATATTTCCTTGCAGAAACAGCTCAAAGTAGATGATAAAACCAAGATAAATCCATGTAACCATCCTACATCTAAGGTCCTTATTCACTTTGAAATTTGATGGGGTACATTTGAGGTCCATTTGAGGTACATTTGAGATATATTTGAGATCATTTAGGTGCAGAAATGGCTCACTTTTTTTTTATATGACTTGGCTGTGGAAAGCAAAGCCAGATTCTTTGCCTCAATTTCAAGTAAGCATCCATTTACAAGTGGTTTTCTTATATACACTGCAAAGCAGTGAAATGATGGATCTACCATGCATTTCCTGGTTCTGCAGGGGTTGAAGCTTACAGTCAAACAGGATTACTCTCCAACCTACATTTTCCCTTTTCCAAAATCCAGTAGCATACCGATCCGATATTTTCACTTTTTCCCGAGAGCGCCTGCGAAGGGTTCTTCGTAAAAAAGCAGCCCTTATACTACATCTTCACACCTTCACATCTGCTGATCTACATCTTCACACCTTCACATCTGCTGATCTACATCTTCACACCTTCACACCTGCAGATCTAGATCTTCACACCTTCACACCTGCAGATCTAGATCTTCACACCTTCACACCTGCAGATCTAGATCTTCACACCCTCACATCTGCAGATCTAGTAGATCTTCACACCTTCACATCTGCAGATCTAGATCTTCACACTTTCACACCTGCTGATCTAGATCTTCACACCCTCACACCTGCAGATCTAGATCTTCACAGCTTCACATCTGCAGATCTAGATCTTCACACCCTCACATCTGCAGATCTACATCTTCACACCCTCACACCTGCAGATCTAGATCTTCACACCCTCACACCTGCAGATCTAGATCTTCACATCCTCACACCTGCAGATCTAGATCTTCACACCCTCACATCTGCAGATCTACATCATCACACCCTCACACCTGCAAATCTAGATCTTCACACCCTCACACCTGCAGATCTAGATCTTCACACCTTCACATCTGCAGATCTCCTCTCGCTCTTCTTCTATTCTCTCTTAAGGCGGGGGCGGTGCCGCCGGAGCGCCACGAACGCAACCGTTTCGCACGAAATGGACGTTGGACGTCCAAAACCTAGGTAAAATTGCGATTTTGAAGCGTCCCCGGCAACCCTTTCGCACGAAATGGACGTTGGACGTCAAAAACTGAGGAAAAATTGCAACTTTTATCGGTCGCGCGCAACCTTTTCGCACGAAATGGACGTTGGACGTCAAAAACTGAGGAAAAGTTGCGACTTTTATCGGTCGCGCGCAACCCTTTCGCACGAAATTGGACGTTGGACGTCAAAAACTGAGGAAAATTGCAACCTTTATCTGTCGCGCGCAACCTTTTCGCACGAAATGGACGTTGGACGTCAAAAACTGAGGAAAAATTGCGACTTTACTTAGTCAATCGCAACCTTTACACACGAAATGGACGTTGGACGTCAAAAACTGAGGAAAAATTGCGACTTTTATCCGTGGCGCGCAACCCTTTCGCACGAAATGGACGTTGGACGTCAAAAACTGAGGAAAAATTGCGACTTTTATCGGTCGCGCGCAACCCTTTCGCACGAAATGGACGTTGGACGTCAAAAACTGAGGAAAAATTGCGACTTTACTTAGTCAATCGCAACCTGACACACGAAATGGACGTTTGACGTCAAAAACTGAGGCAAAATTGCGATTTGACTTCTTCAATCGTAATCCCTACGCACGAAATGGACGTTGGACGTCAAAAACTGAGGAAAAAATGCGATGGACGTTGTGTGTGTAAAAGCGTCTGTGTGTAAAAGCGTTTGTGTGTGACAGCGTGTGTGCGTGTGTAAAAAGCATCTGCGTGTAAAAGCGTCTGTGTGTAAAAGCGTCTGTGTGTAAAAGCGTTTGTGTGTCAACGCGTCTGTGTGTAAAAGCGTTTGTGTGTGAAAGCGTGTGTGCGTGTGTAAAACGAATCTGCGTGTAAAAGCGTCTGCGTGTAGAAGCGTCTGTGTGTAAAACCGTCTGTGTGTAAAAGCTTTCGTGTGTAAAAGCGTCTGTGTGTAAAAGCGTCTGTGTGTAAAAGCGTTTGTGTGTAAAGGCTTTTGTAGAAGCGTCTGGTTGTGTAACACGTTGTGTGTTGTAAAAGCTTTTGTGTGTATAAAAGCGTCTGTGTGTAAACAGCGTCTGGTGTGTAAAAGCGTTTGTGTGTAAAAGATTTTGTGTGTACTTTGACCGCACGACATGGAACTGTTAGAGATTGAGGGTGACAATGCTTGCTAGTGTATCCGTGCTAGGACGTGCGGAGCTTGGTTCGTTTGGTGTGGTAATCTGTGTGGGAATTGATATGTTCATAGTGAGCTTCACTGTTCAGTTTGCATGTCTATGCGACAATGATGTTTGCTTGTCAAACGCAGGAGTCGTGGTCTCAGGCTTCGAAGAACACATTCTTTGCATTGAATTGTGCGAGTGTGTAGCAGGTTAGTGCATGAAGTTGTAGAAGTTACCAAGCTGTTGGGTTCGTTGTACCTTTGTGGATGTTTCCTTTGAGAACGGTGTGATGCATGTAATTTACAGCATCATGGTGTTCGACAATGATGCCCATCCCAAGTGTCAAACTCACGAATTGTGTTCTCAGTTTGGAAGTCCAGGATGATGCAAGATGAAACAAGGCATTGCGAGATGATTCCAGATGGTGTTGCCGAGCTTTGTTAAACTAGTTTTTTGTTGATGCGTTCAGCCTTCAGTTTGCAGGTCTCTGCGACAGTGGTTCTTTGTCATGTCAAACTCATGAGTGGTGTTCTCAGTTTGGAAGTCAGAGAGCAAATGCTTTGCAGTGGGTTGTGCAACTCTGCAGCGACAAGCATAGTTTACCTCTTTATCTCTTTCCTGGGCTCAGACGTGAACGTAGAGACAAGATGCATTGTGCACGGAGTGAACATCCATATTCTTATATGTACGCTGAATGTTCGTGAAACAAGTGACGATTGGCAAACGGGTATCTGTAACATTTCTTGCACTTCTCGAGGTTTCTGTAGGGGCTGTCCGTGAGAGCTCGAGAATTGCATTGTGACAATGTCAGTGTTTGTTTACGATGCAGTGGATCTATGTGATGTATAGCACAAAAAAAATATATGTGATGTTTTCATTGAAATGCATGAGCAGTGGACAAAAAAATACTACGGGAATCATTGTACCGTTCAATATTGTACCGTTCAATTTTGTTTTGAAATCAAGCATGTCATGGCATTGTTTTGAAATCAAGCGAATAGATATGCATGTCTCGGAATTTCTGAATGCAAAATGTTTGTTTGAAGTCACGCACCCGTGACGTTTGTGGACGTTTTGTGGTCGCTGTTTCATTTGCTGACGGGAACGTCTGTGCGAATGGAGCATGGGACAGCGTCATCCGCGTCGTCCGATGCTGTGGAAATTCGGATGCAGAGGCATTGCGAGATGATGCAAGATGGTGTTGCCGAGCTGCTGAGTTTTTTGTTACCGAGCTTTGTTAAACTAGTTTTTTGTTGATGCGTTCAGCCTTCAGTTTGCAGGTCTCTGCGACAGTGGTTCTTTGCCATGTCAAACTCATGAGTGGTGTTCTCAGTTTGGAAGTCAGAGAGCAAATGCTTTGCAGTGGATTGTGCAACTCTGCAGCGACAAGCATAGTTTACCTCTTTATCTCTTTCCTGGGCTCAGACGTGAACGCAGAGACAAGATGCATTGTGCACGGAGTGAACATCCATATTCTTATATGTACGCTGAATGTTCGAGAAACAAGTGACGATTGGCCAACAGGTATCTTTAACATTTCTTGCACTTCTCGAGGTTTCTGTAGGGGCTGTCCGTGAGAGCTCGAGAATTGCATTGTGACAATGTCAGTGTTTGTTTACGATGCAGTGGATCTATGTGATGTATAGCACAAAAAAATATATGTGATGTTTTCATTGAAATGCATGAGCAGTGGACAAAAAAATACTACGGGAATCATTGTACCGTTCAATATTGTACCGTTCAATTTTGTTTTGAAATCAAGCATGTCATGGCATTGTTTTGAAATCAAGCGAATAGATATGCATGTCTCGGAATTTCTGAATGCAAAATGTTTGTTTGAAGTCACGCACCCGTGACGTTTGTGGACGTTTTGTGGTCGCTGTTTCATTTGCTGACGGGAACGTCTGTGCGAATGGAGCATGGGACAGCGTCATCCGCGTCATCCGATGCTGTGGAAATTCGGATGCAGAGGCATTGCGAGATGATGCAAGATGGTGTTGCCGAGCTGCTGAGTTTGTGTGTGCAAAAGCGTCTGTGTGTAAAAGCGTTTGTGTGTGAAAGTGCGTGTGTGCGTCTGTAAAAAGGCATCTGCATGTAAAAGCGTATGTGTGTAAAAGAGTCTGTGTATAAAAGCGTCTGTGTGTTAAAGTGTTTTCGTGTAAAAGTCTCTGTGTGGAAATGCGTCTCTGTGTGTGTGCATGAAAAACGTCTCTGTGTGAAAGCGTCTGTGTGTAAAAGTGTTTATGTGTAAAAGATTCTGTGTGTAAAAGCGTCTCTGTATAAAAGCGTCGCGTTTCTTCGCGTTCACGGAATGATGGTGCCGCGCCTTTTTCCGCAATGTGTGTGGGAATTACCATAATAAAATGAGATAGCACATGTCATTCGCAGACTCATGGCACTGAGCCTCCTGTGCACTTTTGTTGCTCACATTACATTTCTCCATGTTTTCTTTCTACCTCCCCCTTTCATTCTCTCTCTCTCTCTCTCTCTTGCTTTCTCTTTCCCTCTCTCTCTCTCTCTTTCTCTCTCTCTCTCTCTCTCTCTCTCTTTATCTCTGCCCCCTCTTTCTCTCTGTGGTTGCAAGACACATGTCATCTGATGCCCTTTACCAAATATTCTCTTCTTGATCAATCTTACTTTTTCACACCATATCTTTCCATAGTTCATATAAAATTCACCAACTATTCACCGACTATCTTTTACGACTACCATCCTCAGAGCTGCTTGAAAAACATCTTTTTCGCTCTCGGGCCAACCGTCGTCTAGTTTTTGCACCTTTCTGCGACATATCCTCAGGACCTTTTCAAAGATCCCGAAATTCTTTGCTTCCCTTCCTCTCTTACATCTTTCGGGTTCCTTACCTCCTATGTGATGCTTCTGTATTGTCTTCCCGTCTCGTTTATTCTGTCAAGTTTTTGGAGGGGACTGTTGTGAACCTGTTTCTGCAAGTAAATGTGGACCTTAGGTCTAGGATGGTTACATGGGTTTATCTTGATGTTCTCATCTATTTTAAGCTGTTTCTGCAAGTAAATATGGACCTTAGGTGTAGGATTGTTACATGGTTTTATCTTGATGTTCTCATCTATTTTGAGCTGTTTCTGCAAGTAAATTTGCACCTTAGGTGTAGGATGGTTACATGGTTTTATCTTGTTTTTATCATCTACTTTGAAGTGTTTCTGCAAGTAAATGTGGACCTTAGGTGTAGGATGGTTACACGGGTTTATCTTGATGTTCTCATCTATTTTAAGCTGTTTCTGCAAGTAAATATGGACCTTAGGTGTAGGATGGTTACATGTATTTATCTTGATTTTATCTTCTATGTTTTTTTGAACTGTTTCTGCAAGTAAATATGGACCTCAGGCATATGATGATTGATGATTACATGATTTTTACACCTGTGCTGAATTAATTTCTCATTGGCAGGAGGCAAATTTGAAGACCTCCAACATCTATTTTTACATTTATTGAATTTCAAGGATTTTCCAATAATTTGCAAGGAATAATATACCTTCTATAAATCTATATTACATGTGTAAATGATGGAAAAAGTGTAGAATTCATTGAAAATAACAGGCAATTGAGGCCCTCTAGGGATACAGATTGCAATTATGATTTTATGCAATTCTGCAGCTATTTGCAGACCTCCAGACTATTATTCTTGCATTTTTCCATGTTCTTACATTTGTTTCCGTAAAATGCAACTTGCAATATTGGACGCATCCCTGGAAAAAATTGCAAGTCGGTAAAACGTGGGGGTACATAATTGCAATCTACGAACCTATCAAAATGCAATCTTGCAATAAAGACGATGAACCAAAAAATGTAAGCATACATTTTCATAGGTCCCGCCCCCCCAAAACAACGTCTTATTGCAAGCTTGCATTTTGAGCGTCCCCCCTCCTTAAAAGGGTGGTGATTATACAATATTTAATATAAAATATAATAATATATCTATATATTCATATATTATATAGATAGATAGATAGATAGATAGATAGACAGATGGATAGATAGATAGATAGATAGATATAGATGATATGTATATAATATGTCCTTTACATATCTCATATTAACTTTCTGTATATCAACAATATGTCCCATGGTTCTTCCGCTTCGAGGTTCGTCGGCCGCTCCTTCCTGCCCAGCTGGTGGGGCGACGTGCAGCTGGACGATGGCGCGGAGGAGGAGGACGAGCGCCAAAGACCGGGGCCAAAGAGCGTGGGGGTGACCCAAGCTGCAGCATGTCCCAGGGCCCCAGGTTGGGAAATGATGGGTGAATGGGGATATCACCAACCAACTGGGATTTATGATGATATCAGTATGATATTGATTGATATAATGGGGATATCATGGGGATTTTAGTTAATCAATGGGGTTTAAAACTGGTGAAAACTGGGATATGGGATGATCATCCCAGTTGGTATGGAATGGGGTACCCCAGGGATGAACCATAACCGTAACCCACATGTTTGATATGGATAGTTCATTGAAAAAATCCCATCCCCAATATTTTTAACATCTGAAAACTGGTTCCAGATATGTGGTAAAACATCATGTTTCATCCCTACCATGTTTTCTGGCTGTGTGTTTAACGTATATTGCACCTGGGGGGAAGTGAGATCTTGGCCCAGTTATGTCATATGGAAATATACCCCAGATATATATATATATATGTTATTAGCCACTTACTTTCTGGGATGAGGCCCCCCCTGGTGGGGATTCCACCATTCATACCCCAAGGGTCACCGGCCAATGGCATGATTATTAATTAATGACTTATTGACCACCAGTGTTTTTTTTTTTAATGGGCTTATTGACATTCTATTCTGGTTGGTGGTTTGGAACATGAACTTTATGTTTCCATATATTGGGAATGTCATCATCCCAACTGACGAACTCATATTTTTCAGGGGGGGGTATACCACCAAGCAGAGTTGTTGGTGTGATTTTTGTCCCTATTTGGTAAATACCATGCATGGAGCATTTGGGCATTATAAGTTAAGAATATCATATTAAGGGTGCCTTATATAAGGGCTTATCAACCAGCAAGAATCAGCATAAAAGCTGCCACGGAAGGTGGAACCCCGGAAAAAAACACTAATTATAGCCTTCAAAAATTGAGATGTCACCAGCAAAACAGACGTTTTTTTTAGATGTTCAAAGGGATTCGATCAATAGAAATGGGGCTTCCAGACAAGTATCATGTTCCTTTGGTTTCGTCCTGAAATTTGATTTACTCAATGGCTGTATGAATGGGGAAAATGGTAGCAAATGACGGGATTTTTGGGTACCCTATTTTTGGGTAAACCCAAGTGGGACATGGCCACATACGAATCTGAATAGGTTTGTGATGGAGAAAGAAATCGATATATTTCTCTGTGAATCGAGGATACTGGAGGTCCTATAGAAAGTACTCGTAATTAGTTTGTCGCAAGAAATGAGGAGATGCCTCAGCCCCACCTGGTTTTCCCAGTCTTAAATGAGCCAATAAAGTGGTGGAGATGGCCCAGTGATCCATTGCCCCGCAAAGGCCGACAACACCAATTGGTTGCTCATCATGCGTGCCTTGTCTAAGACGCCAGTGGTCAAGTGATAAAAGACAAGGGGCAACTGGGGCAACCATGTTTCCTTACCTGAATCATATTCTTAAAGGTAGCGTGAGTAGCTGAAAAATCTTTTAACCATGGCACGCGGGGCTAGTACATTGACCTACATTGAGATCAGATGGAACCATGTTTTTTTTCTGTCACTGCGGAAATCCTTGGACTTCTACCCTCCCTCAATTTCACATAGCTATGGAAAATCACCATTTTTCATAGATAATCATAAATTCATCTATAACTAGGCCATGGCTTACCGTAACAAATTACCAGAGGCTAATCGGCTAATCGTACCGAGTCTTACAGCTGTGCCGTCCAGGTGTGGTGGAACGAGCGCCGCTCAGCGCCATTCTGCTGGTGTTGCTCTTCGTTTGGCCCGTGCTCTCGGCCGCGCCCTCGCTCCACATCACGGCAGACGCTGGCGCGAGATGGGACCGTTGGGATCGTTGGGGTTGGGGTGGAGCCAAAAGAATCCAAAAGACCCAATGATCAATGGGAAATTGCCAAAAAAATACCTGAGAAAACGATCACTTTTGGTGAAATGTTCTGGGAACATTTGTAGTTTATAATAAACCCCCGGTGACCCCAGGTGAAACAGCCTTAGCTGTTTCCTCACTCGCGTGCTGGCACTCAGCACTCGCGTGCCAGCACTCGCGTGCTCAGCACTCACTCCAATGCATTTTTCCCGGTGTGCATCCTAGTAGATATGTTTGTCTTGATTTAGATAGTGGATGCTTTTATTGGAATAGGAAAAATGCATTGGAGTGACGATCAGCATGCGATATCATGAGATACTCATCACATTCATGAGGGCCACACGAGTACCTCCTAGTTGCGTTGATTTTTTCAACACCCTGAAAGAATTTACCCTTTTGGAGGAAACGGGGAAACCCCAGATACTTTTTTCGGGAAGCGCAAAATGCATCCGGACATCAGGCAGATATTCGCACGTTACCGGATGTTTTTTTCCACGGAAAAGTAAATGCACCGAGGTATGAATAGGATAATAAAACCCAATGCGTTTCGAACTTGCAATTTACTAGCCCTTTACGGTCTAAAATTTGTATGGATGCTTTTTTCGGACCTAGTTAAATGATGTTAAATGCATTTATACACGAAAGCATTCTTGGGAAAGAGTCTCGGTTTCATGCATGTGTTGATCCAGCGGCCGTCGATCATCAGTGAAAGCATGTTTATCTCTTCCGTCGTAGCTTTTCGCTCGAGGAGTTCTGATTATAAGTTTCCTCCCGCTCGATCTATCAACTGCCCTTGCAATGCCACCCATGGTGAATACGGATGTGAACATAGTCGTGACGAGTTGTGGCGAAGTCAGGTGGAAAGGTGATCATGACTGCTGGTCGGCGGTTCACCACCCTCATATCAAATATGTCGAGTCGTTCATGGATGATACGTGCCGTGGGAAGCACGAGTGGGCCTTTGAATTTGACTCGGCCTACAAGAGGGCTCCTCGTGGAGGCATCGAGTTCTGCAAGCAGTGCGGGTGCCTGAACGAGTTGACGCAGACTCAGGTCCAAGGCGAGTGTGAGTACGGCGCGTCATTCAACCCTGAAGGTCGGTTGCTTTGGAAAGCTCACGTGCCGAATTGGAGAGAATCATCTACCCACATTGGACCGAGTGAAATTCGTGCACGTACCAATGTCGATCAAATTTTCGGCATCATGCATCAGGATGGTCTTCCGAAGCGTGCGATTCGCACAGCGCGAAGGCTGTTTTTTGTTTAATTATGCTGATCATGGTGGCCACCGTTGTCGCACGCGGGCCGACAGAGTCTTCTGCAAGAACTGGACGGCGCACAGGCGCAATGAATTTTTGAAGGAATTCGGCGAAAATCTGCCCTTGCCGATCCTCTTGCTGGCTCGACGCCTGAGGACAGGCGCAGATTTTGCATGGACCGGGATTATCGGCGAAGCCCGAAGAAATTGCTTAAGTCTTACCCTCGCGAATATCGAGGTAAGCTTAAAGCCCTGGTCGCTGACATTCGAACTCTCGATCCTGAGGTTTGGCACAGGGATTGGAATTTGAAGACAAGGCACGAACTTGCATTCGAATACGGTCGCTTTTTGACTACTTGGTGGTCGCTTTTCGTTTAGGCCACTTGCAAGTACTTGCAACCCCCCTTGCAACCTCCTTGCAACCATGGTGCAGCATGTTGCAAGCACGGTAAGTACAGTAAGTTTTTAAGCGAAGTTGGCGGACTTATAAGTTACAAACCAAACATATATGTATTTATAAGTTTTTTAAGTTGTTTTCAAAAAAACAAAAAAATACTTAAATTACTTCTAAATTACTTAGCATACTTAGCTTTTTTCATGTTTTTAAATATGTGTTTTTTTTGTTTTTTTTAAAGCACGTTTCATTGATAAAAAAAAACGGCTACACCATAGGAGCTTTATTGGAAAGTGCAGCCTATCATGAAGCATTTGAGCCACAAATCATGGTGTGGCATTCCATCTTTGCGATTGAGCATTGCTTTAAGTGCGGCTCTTTGAGCCGCATGTGAGACTAGCGACCAGTGAGCAGCTGCGATAAAAAAAACGAAAGAGCACTGTCTGCACATGGTTGGCATTGGGTGACTTCAGCGGTTCAATGAACCGCGCAAAACGTTTGTGTAGGTATACAACCTGAAACACATGATATATGTGTATATATATATATACATATCGATTTTGGAAAATATTTTTCAGGCGGGCGGCTCATTGAGCCGCCACTAAATGGTATGGTATATAGGTGTTCTTGATTGTTTGGTTAAAGGTTGGAGGATGTGTATATATATATATATGTATATATATGTATATATATATATGTATATATATATATGTATATATGTATATATATATATACATATATATATATAGAATGATATATCTCACTATAGTATATGCACCAAATATAACACAGAAACATATAGGTAGATACATAAACATACAGATATCACCCAGGTACATGTGAATATGGGTCTCGGATTGTGGGAAGAGCGGCTCATTGAGCCGCCCATGGCCCATGCATATAGGTTTCACGCAATGTTACTTTTGAGTTTTTGGCTTACCTGGTGAAATGGATGCTACAACATGTTAGAACTTATGTATACACACTTCAAACAGACAAACACGAAAGATTCAAGATTGATGGCCTCAAACCATTTTTTTAAATGTGTTTTTTCAAAAATACTTACACATGGCTACACATGGCTACACATACACATGGCTACACATGGCTACACATCCACTACACATCTGAGAAATTTTCCAAGATCGCCAGTTGTATGGCCTGAGGTTTTGCCACTCTCTGGGAAGGAGGGGGCTCAATGTCAGGCACCTCATACAGATAAGTCCTTCAAATTGACCATTCAAACATAAGACATCACAAAACGTTTTATTGTCGACAGGTTTCTTGTATGATTATATGTTCTAGATGGGGATGGATATGAATCAAAATGATGTGCACTTTTTGGCTCCAGGAATGCCATTTGTGGTGTCCTTTTTGGTTTTCAAAATTTATAGTGAGTGATACCGTTATCTCTGTAGATTGTTGTGCGGCCCAATGGGCCGCAGGAGAATGCAGAAGGCTGGACAGGCATTTTAGATTTTTTAAATGTGTTAGAGATTTATTAATGGGGTTGCAGAAGCGGCTCATTGAGCCGCACAGGTACATTGGACTTGCATGACAAACTGTTTTTTTCACACAACATCTTTGCAAGTGCGCAGTGAAACTGATACACCATGCAACTGAGAAACCGTGAAAGAGAAACCATAAAATGCCAAACGATTCAACCCGTCAAGTCTGAAGTGCGCAAATATTTGAACTGTCTTCTTATTTGTAGTTGCTGCGGCTCAATGAGCCGCACATATATATATATATATACATAGATTCTGGTGTTAACATGCATTGGTTTTGAATTTTCTTTTGTAAAAAATGATGCGGCTCAATGCGTCGCACATACATACATATAGATTCTGGTGATATGTCCATGCAAAATATATGAAGGAAAAAACAGAAAAATATGTCTTTGGTGGATTGGAAAAACTTAATTTTACTTATATTACTTATAAGTTAGCTAAGTCCAACTTAGGCAACTTATGTTTACAATTTAAAAGTGTTCCTTTTATAAGTATGCTAAGTCCAACTTGCAAGTTCTATATGTCCAGCAAGTTCCATAAGTTATTTGCAAGTCCCATAAGTAAAGGGCGACCACCAAGTAGGAAGCAAGTTCAGCACCTTCGTGGTAAAAACCCACTGCGTGACGAACTTGCGTGCTAGCACTCAGCGTTGCGCGCGCTGCGTGCTGGAGCTGCTTGAGACTGTGCAGGGCAGGCAGCAAAGATGGTGTGGGGCTTTCAATAAACCTCGCAAAAGAGGCCGATATACTTGTGTCTCTGAAAGCCCGCAACTTACAGAAATACCTGCAGATATCGTGCATTTCTCGAATTACATCTCATTTTGCTCTGAAGAAACAACTCACAACAGTGTTGTTGTTGTTGTTGTTTTTTATTTTTTCGATGTTTGAAGCATGGTAACACTACGTAATACTACTCTCCAAATCAAACTTGGGTTAGACCATGATTACACCATTGTTACACCGAAAAGACAGCGTAGCTGCCAACGGCTCAGGACCGTTTTGCCATGATGCCGCTGTACTCACCGGCGGTGTTGGCCTTACGGAAGATCCAGGATGCCAAGCTGTCGACAGGGCTGGTGACGCTTGGCCAATTGGGGCCTTGGTTTTTTGTTGTTTTCAAAAGGAGTGAGCCCTGATTTTGTTGTTGTTTCCTTATTATAAATTGCTTAAACTATGATTATTGTATATATATAATAGTTATATATACATATACAATATATATATACATACATTTATATATATTTATTTATGAATATTATATACATATTACTGGAGTGAATGTATTCTGTTCTTGTTCTGACTATGCTCACTTATGTATGTATATACGGTAATTTATTGAATGTGTTGTTTTACTCTTCTTGGGTTATGATTATTACCATCATGAAGTGATATGTCATGATCCAAAGCCATATTTATAACCGTGTGACTGAAACATTATGTCCAGTTGGTTAGTTTGAATGGTTGTTTGCTTGGTAGATCCTTAAGTATTTGGATGTATTTGGTATATGTTCAAAGCTTACTTTGGTTCCAGGATCTCCCTTTCTTTGTGGTCGGGATAAGCGACATCGGTGGGACCAAAGCCTGCAGATGTTCGCTGCAGAAAGTCTGCCGTTTTCAATATGAGACAAAAAACTCTGGCGTGTGAAAGGATCAGCGAACCTTGATTGCCGAAGATCTGAGGATATCCAAAGCTTAGAGTACCTGGTTACAGCTAGTTACTTCAAGTTCGGCTTTACCTAGTTACCTGGTTAAAAGCGACAGCCAGATCGATCCGTTCAGTTCAGGAACCCCTATGAGATCTTGGTGACAGCCCCGAATCAGCCCAGAGATGTGCTTCGCGCTGAGCTTTCAAAGGGCTTGGACTCCTTAGGTGCTCACAGTTGGATCGATGGGCTGCCGGGCTGCCGACCGGAAGGCAAATGATGTATGGGATAAATGATAGTGATTCATAATTATTTGGTTGGTGGTTTGGAACAGGAATTTTATTTTTCCATATATTGGGAATGTCATCATCCCAACTGACGAGCATTTTTTCAGAGGGGTTGAAACCACCAACCAGTAATTATTAAATGTATATTGATGTTGATATATGATATTGATATTGATACGTATTGATATTGATATTATATATTGTATAAATGTATAGCTAGACTTGATATCAATGATTGATAATCATTGACTTAGTAGTCTGGACAAAGGATAATGATATCATATATCTCGATAGGTTATGTGAATTTACTATATAACCTGAAATAATAAATACAACAGCTGATGTATATGGGATGAATTATGAGATAATTTATCCAAACCAGATTTTTGAGCAGTCGGTTGTCAATTGGATGTTTTGAGATACAAAGAGTAGTAAAATCTCCGACGCACTTTTGCTTGACGTTTGCGCAGCGGAACTCAAATTAGCACAGGCAATCTGCTGCCATCTCCCTCAAAATTACTATCATACAGTCATCATACAACATGTTCCAGAGACTTTTTGCACAATATGAATCCTAGAGTCCTAGATGATTCGATCATATTCATGATACTCTTAAAAAAATGATCACTATGATCACTAGTGTTTTCGAACTTGGACCCTGTTGATGTAAAACATCACCTCCAGGCCTGGCGACTTCGCACCTGGGCCTTGGGATGAGCGACTTGCAGAAGGCCCTGAGAGAAGGCCGGCCTGTCATGGGGGTACCGCACAATGGATGGATTTTGATGGTTCTTTTCATGGGACATCCTTTAAACATCGGAAAAGAACATGGGATGATTTGGTACCCACATGACTTAGGGCAACCTCCATTTATGGAGTTTAGTTGGTAAGTTTCTGTGTGTGTGTTGTGTTTTTTTGAGTTTTTTGGCTTGTTAGTTGTTGTGAGTTTGTTCGCGAGCTAGTTTGCTAGTTAATTCGTTAGGTAGAGTAGATTATGTATTTAAACAACATATGCCTTCCACTGGCTCATTGTTGATCGGATTACAACGTATATAAGTATATACGATGGTGTTTGAACAAAAGCAACGAATGATTGTGCTGTTTGCGTTTGCGGCTGCGTTTGAAGTGTATGGTGCTGGTTTGACGATTAAACATGATGATCTTGATGATTTGTTGAGTATTGATTACGACACGCGATAGCTGAAACTATATCTGTGAATACCAATTGCTAGAAGAGTAGCAACGACCGTCATCCCGACATTACCTACAGAAGGCTGGTTGGTGATGGTTGACAATGTTCATTCATCGTGTTTTTTTTTCCCCACCTGCCAGGTGAGGGTTGTTAGATTTTATGTCAGTTGCCTTCTCCTCCTCCTCTCCTCCTCTCCTCCTCCTCTCCTCCTCCTCCTCGTCGTCCTCCTCGTCCTCCTCGTCCTCCTCGTCCTCCTCCTGCTCCACTGCGATCCATGTCAGTGTGCCCTGCCGGACCTCAACCACGACCATCCACGTCAGTGTGCCCTGCCGGACCTCAACCACGACCATCCACGCCCAGTGTTCCCTGCCGGACCTCAAACACGACCATCCACGCCCAGTGTTCCCTGCCGGACCTCAACCGCGAGTATCCACGCCAAGTGTTCCCTGCCGGACCTCATGTAGGAAGATATGGGACAAAGAATGTGCAGAAGAAAGTTAGAAAAAATGTCAGAAAGAATGTCAGAAGATATGCCAGAAGATATGCCAGAAGATATGCCAGATAGAATGCCAGATAATATGCCAGAAGATATGCCAGATAGAATGCCAGATAGAATGCCAGAAGATTTGCCCGATAGAATGCCAGAAAATATGCCAGAAGATATGCCAGATAGATATGTCAGAAGATATGCCAGAAGATATGCCAGAAGATATGCCAGAAGATATGTCAGAATATATGCCAGAAGATATGTCAGATAGAATGCCAGAAGATATGTCAGAATATATGCCAGAAGATATGCCAGATAGAATGCCAGAAGATATGTCAGATAGAGTGCCAAAAGATATGCCAGATAGAATGCCAGAAGATTTGCCAGATAGAATGCCAGAAGATATTCCAGAAGATATGCCAGATCATATGCCAGAAGATATGCCAGATAGAATGCCAAATAGAATGTCAGAAGATATGTCAGATAGAATGCCAGAAGATTTGCCAGTAAGAAAATGTATAAATGTCATGGTGGGGATCACACGAAGTAAAGTAATTTGTTTAAGGGTTGTTTTTTTTCTGGAGCAAACCCTTCTGCAGACACATGTGAGATCTCCCAAACAGATTTAAACATGGCAACCTTGGAGCAAGGAAATTGTGTTCCAGTAGGCTCCGCCGTGTTCCATGTTAGATTTTTTGGGGAAGATGTAAGTAAGGGTACTAAGCAACAAAAAAACGATGGCAAGATGGGAGAGATGAACCAGCATCGCGATTTGACCTTAAGAAGAATGGGAATGAATGGGAATGCTGCCGATTTTTTTATCAGATACCTGGAATCAAACTGACTGTCTTTTTTCACCTCCCCAAAAATCCAGATGCTCAAATCGATTGCCATCGTGGGATTTTGAGGTGCCCATGTGTATCACCCGACAGCCATGGATTCCCCATGCTTTGTGTAGCATATTTTAATGGGTTTTAATTGGATTTAATGGGATTTAATGGGTTTCAGTTTCAATGGGTTACCAGAGTCCTGGAATTGGATGAGACATGTTCGAAGAAACCACTAGATTTGATGACAATTTACTCCTGCAGACGTTCCTTTCAATGAATCTATATTGACAGATTTGACAGAAGTTACCCTCCAGTAAACTAACATAGCCATGGAAAATGGCCCAGTTCAGGATGATTTCCATTGATTGATATAGAAAATGACGATTTTATCCATAGCCATGCTAGTTTACCATGAGAGTAAATCCCACTAAATCACAATCAAATCTCATTAAATTGAATTCAAAACCCATTATATAAATCCCATTAAATCCAATTAAAACCCATTGAAACCCATTAAATCCCATTAAATCCAATTAAAACCCATTAAATCCAATTAAAACCCATTGAAACCCATTAAATCCCATTAAATCCAGTTAAAACCCATTGAAACCCATTAAAACCCATTGAACCCCATTAAATCCCATTAAATCCAATTAAAACCCATTGAAACCCATTAAAACCCATTGAAACCCATTAAATCCCATTAAATCCAATTAAAACCCATTGAAACCCATTAAAACCCATTGAAACCCATTAAAACCCATTGAACCCCATTAAATCCCATTAAATCCAATTAAAACCCATTGAAACCCATTAGAACCCATTGAAACCCATTAAATCCCATTAAATCCAATTAAAACCCATTAAAACCCATTACATAAAACACCATCAAATCCGCTTCGGCTTCGCTATGGACCAGGCCAAAACTCCTTGCTTCGCCGTCCAGAGGCACCGGAGGATCTGTCGGGCTATGAGGAGTTGTTGCGTCTCGGTGCGGGCCAAATCATAGTAAAACCGTAGGCAACCCATAGGAAAACTGGGAAAACCATGGGCGGAGCATAGGCAACCATACTTACCATACTTGGATGAATTACTTACTGTAACATACTGGAACTGGTTAGTAGCTGGGATAGAACTGGGGATAGTTCGTGGGTTATGAGGCAGTTGCGATCACGAGTTGACTCATGGCCCATTTAAGTATGTCACGGACGAAACTGGGGCACATAAACATCAGGTACCAACGAACCTACGGGTACCTATCGACCCTTAGTTTTCTGTAGAACTGGAATCAGTAAGATCAGCAAGATACAGTACTTGTGGGTACAGTTCCACTTTATGGGTCTATTGATATAAGCCCAACTGATAGGGAGTATTATGCCATGGGCATGCCCATTCTTAACCCCAACTGCGCCTTCAAGTCGGGGACCCCAACTTACCCTCTGGTAAACTAACATAACTATGGAAAATCACCATTTTTAATGGGAAAATCCACTATTAATGGCCATTTTCAATAGCTATGTTAAATTACCAGAGGGTATCCACCATGTTAGAGGAAAGCCCTTGGGAGCCGCCCAGGAATGGCTTAGCATGTGCCAACCGCACTGAGAGCAGTCCCCATAATCCACACTGCAACTGCTGTCCCAATGCCTTCCTCGAGTGTGAAGAATGTGCCTCGGGGTGAAGAGCATGGTGCAGGAAAACCAGCCATAAATGGAGGAATCTATAACTAATGTTGATTGAAGTAGTTTATTTTATATAATTGACGTATTTTGTTATTTTTGTTGCAGGGTATCTAAGCATTGGTCATGAAACGGGCTCCAAAAGGATAGAATGCCTTGTGACCAGATTCAGTAGGTGTGTTCAATTAATTTGGAGCTCTGCATGTACAAAGAATTGGTTGTTTCCAGGTGAATTTGGAGGCTCCCATATTTTTAGAGCCAACATGCCCACATTTGTTGAGTGTTGTTCCACTTCATGATTCTCCATGCAAACACAGTGAATATGTTGCATGAAGCCATCTGGGAATATCATGGATGATCAGAGAAGTCAATCAAAAACCATCAAACACGTGAAATGGACATGGAAAACACAGCTACATGATGGCTACATGACAATATGAGCAGTGTTCAAAGTCAGTGGTTGATGATGGTTGATGATTATATGGAACGAACAATTGTCATCATGGGAAACCCCGTTCTTGGCCAACCAATGTCAACGAAAACTTCGCAGATACCACCGTGGAACTGCTTCAGGTGATCTTGCTGCGACCTGCGCATCGCCTGAGATGCAGGTATCTTGGGGATGAAAATTTAAGGGTGATACAATTGACATATTGGGTTTACCAGTTACCACATTTATGGTTAGAACAACTTGTTACCCATTTACCAACCAGATATATTGGGTAATTCCACATTTATCTAATATCTGATTGGTGGTTTGGAACATGGCTTTTATAAATTTCCATATATTGGGAATTTCATAGTCCCAACTGACGAGCATATTTTTCAGAGGGGTTGAAACCACCAACCAGTTATGATTAGAAGGGTTGACTCTTACAAGAAATGATGATAATTTATCTATGTGTTTTTTGGCTAGAATGGTTCTTGGTATGTTTGCGCGACCTCATTGTGAGGTGACCCATCGAGAAAGGATAGTAAGCGGCATCTTCAGCTTGATTGTTTCCATGTTAGGGAATGACCTTAATGACCATTGAGATTTTAATCAAGAACCATCCAAAGAGGGACTTTCCTTATGGCCTCCAGATGCGGACAACATTCTCCGAAAGATGGAAGGGATGGTAAGCTTCTCAAGTGCCATTGGGTTGATGATATGTTTGAGCTATGGTTGAGCTGATATTTCATTTTAGGTATGGCCCGGTATGGGTTACATGGGTTACCGTGAAAAAGCCGTCTCAGGGAGGAATCACTGAACATGTTGAGTCAAGAATTACAGCCGTTCATCTTTTTGCAATCTTCATTTTGAAGGCTATTTTTGAGGTTACAGCCTTGATAAATCTTGGTCATATATTATCATATATCCCTGCCAAGCCAAAGCCATGTTACACCATGGCGCTAGGCCCTACTCGAGCTGGCCAAGGAAGGGAACCTGACAGTAGATGACTCACAGCTGAGGACTGCGACAATGTGGCGGGGGAATCGTCGCAACTGCCCTTTTTCAGTTTGGGAATTGAATCTATAATTTCCCTGGATCCATACTGGGAAAATACACCAGAACATACTGGGCAGATTTGGAGATGACATGAGATTTTGCACCCATTTCCAGGGAAAAAGTATGTTTTCCAATCATCAAAACAGGAAACATGAACAAACTATTGGCCAACGCAGCCCACTGCAGCCAAATCCTCCATCCCAGGAGCCTCAAAGTTTGCATCGAGAGAGCGGCCGTGGCAGCTGCCGGATGGCCCAGAGGGAATGGGTGAATGGGATGATTGTTCATAGTCATTATGGGTAATTTCCCCATTTCCAAAGCACCAATAAGTTGATTTCAGCTGTTTCAAACTACCATCTGGTTATTTGTTACATAGCCATGGTTTTTCGATGGCCCTAATCGAAATAGATGCTTTACCGAACTTCAAAATGGGTGGTGATTTTCCATGGCAAACTGTTAGATAACCAGATGGGAACCATGGCTATCCATGGCTCACGCCGAAGCCATTGCCAGTGTTGGCGCAAAGGTCCTTGGCGCATTCACAGGATATTACAGGATCATCCCTGTGGCGAGAGCATGATTTATTCTGGTTGAACCAAGTTGGTGGGGACTGGAACATGACTGTCCATAATATATGGTTGATATTCCATGCTGTTTTTAATGGCATATGATATTCCATGAAACATAATAATCAATATACTGGGAATGTCATCATCCCAACTGACGAACTCGCCATGATTTTTCGTGGCGAAAATCCACCCAGCAGTAGTTGGTGGTGTCATGTTTGTCCCTGTTTGGGATGGGATGGTAAGGCAAATGGTCCATCACTCACAAAAGGGCACTCCTGTATATTAATGTGGGTAAAACAATGTCATTTTTACTACCCATGTGGGAATGGTTTATAATTTATACCACCCATTTCTAGTGATTTGGGAGATGGTTTATTATTGTTTTACCCACATTATTGTATAGTCATGTCTATCAATGGAGAGGTTTGGTGGTTTCATTCTGTTTACTTTGCAATGATCCCTGCTGACGTTCACACAATTTGTCCTTTCACCTGTCACTATCGTGATTATCTTTGTCTTTGATGTTGAACATGACCAGAATTTGCAGATCGCAAAGTTTGGCCCATCTCCATTTTGGGCCATCGATTCTGGCCACATCGGTTTTTTGTTGGCTCAGAAGAAGAACCGAACTCCTCCGATCGCTTTGGACCAGTCACTTGGATGAACATCGCGGGGCCCCAAAATGCTCCCTAAGGATCCAGCCGAGGGGTTTATCACTCTGGGCTTGGGGTTGGCAGAACCCACTCCACTACGATTCTGGGAAGCCTGCCGCAGCAAAGATCGGGATTTCACCAACATCAACTAGTGGCTATACCGGATCTACCGGACAAGTGTCTGTTGCCGGTGTTTGAAACGTATTTTATGACAAAGCAACAGAGCGCAAGACATGATGATCCCCAGTGACCACTTTTCAGCAGCAGCATACACTCTTGAACATAAATATTTATGTCGTTTCCTAGGTTTTGTTTAAGATACAATGTGCAAGTAGATATGTTTTTTTTTTTCCATAGATGTGTGGTTTTCTTTCAACATGGGGAACAGCTCCTGTCCGAAAAAACTGGAAATGGCAGGTTGAAGATGTCACTGGGTAAACCTTGGTGCTCTGGTAGTCTAACATAGATATATAATATTATATATATACGCCATATATATATATAATAGATATTATATATATATATATTATACACCAAAATGGCGATGTTCCAAAGTTATGTCACATTACCAGAAGCTAGCTAGTTTAGCCTTGCATGTTAGTCAGTGGGGAACTATGTCATACCATGACTGAGGGAATCAACTTTGGGTGGCTTGGCAGTTGGTTTCCAGATCGTTTTTTGATGTTTTTTGTTTGTTTCCAGAGACACTTCATGACACATGATGTCTAGAAGCAAATGGTTTTTAAGAACCTTCAAAATGAACTTTCGAAATGTCAGAATGCAACCCAGTCCGAACAGGTATTTGTTTGTTCGGTAATTGAGGGGAAAAAGATCTGATTGAAACCATGTGAGCCCGGGTCTCACTGTTAAAGTCTTGACTGTGATGTTCACCGGTGCCCAAGCGCCTGGCGTTGATTGGGGCAAGTTCCTGCACCATTTCTAGCGTAATTCGCTCATCATCAGTCTGGGGGCTCCTAGACGTTTCCTTCTAACGGCCCGAATTGGGTAATAGTCCTTCGGTTTGGTTCATTTTAAGGTAACCAACCAAAAATCATAAGGGAAAGTCACCCTGGTTACCTATCCAAAAGGTAGCTGGGAGGTTAGGTAATACTAAACTATGTAAACTATATATAATAGTTGCCATTTATATTATAACCTTCCAGTTGGGTCCGGGTTCCATTCCCTCATCTCCTGATCTCCTGGGTGCATTGTCTCCTGTATCACCATTGCGCGCATATAACTTGTAACCAGAAGTTGGGTTCTCCAAACCTCCTGAAAGTCAGATCCTAGGCTCCTGTCGTCCTTGAGGAAGGTGAACCAATCAGCAGTGCAGAAGGGTTTGCTGCAGCGCTATCCCTTCCTGGTAGACATCGCCGCTTGGGTCGGGGGTGGCAATCAACCCATGGGGAGTTGAATTCGGCTTCGATCCGGGTTGATCCATTGGAAAACATGGTAGAAACGGTGGTTGCATCACCCATTCCAAGGTTGGATGCGTTCACAGTGGCTTCCCCATTGACTTTTCTGTTTGTTCTGAAAGCCCTGTGGCCCTTGCGAATGGTTTCAGTGGTAAAATTATGCATGTTACGTTTGAAATCCCATGTTTTCTAATCATTAGTTTCCTTATCAGACTTGCTACTTAAGTGGTATCCTTTATTTGTCCTCTTTTTGGACAAGCCCGGACAGATACGTCGGATTTGATTGGCTGGAGTAGTTTTGGTGCTGTTGAGGCTGTTGCCTTTACACTTGGTGGTGGTAAACTGTGCGAATGTCAACAGATTGGTTTAAGGATCTTAAGGAAACGGGGTATTTCTGAATTTACTGCGTTTGCGCTATGTTTAACTCAAACCAATGACGGGATATTGGGATTCGACCCGGACCCCACCCAACAGTTCCCATTTCATCCAAGGAGTATATATCATATCATACACCCTTGGGGAAAGAAATGCGGCTGGCTGGACAGTAATTAAGATGGTTTTCCTATCAGAACTTGGAATCCCCAAATGGCTGTAAATGATTTACCTATTGGACACCTGTTGATATGTTTCACACCCAAATTGCATTTTTCTAGGGCTCCAAAATGGGGTACGAACCGACCCATAAATGGTGTAATGTTTAGTACTCAGACTTTCATCGATTTTGTTCGAATTGCGTGTTCCAATTGAATTATACAGGTCATCTTTGTTTTGCATGTATACTATGTATATATAACATTATAGGTCATCTTTACTGTAGTATTTTCTGGCATCTACTTCCTGAGGTTTTTTCCCTTAAACGACTTAGTCCCGAGGTCAGCCAGGTGCAGAATCTGAGTCGGAAGGAGCGTGGCATGCTGCTGCTTCCCAGCGGCTTCCATGCTCTGCTGGAGTTGCCTGGCCAAGCAGAGAGAATGGGTCATTTTACCTCGTCATCTACCCAGTCTCCCCCACTTATAGTTGGGGTGTTGGGAGCAGCTTGTCAATAGGTGAAAACATATGAAAACTAAACCCTGTTGTTTTTTTTGCCAGCGCATTGAAGACTAGTGGTGGCACGTGCAGGAAAGATAAACAGTAAATATGCTTCACATGTTGATATCAAAAAATAGGCTTGCAAAAAAACATGTGAAAAAAGGTATAATAAAGTCGAGGATCCCGCAAAACCATGAAGCTGTGACATTCACTTTGATTGCGTGTCATCGGGATTTCCCCCTTTGCATGCTGTTTCACCCACACTTCACCATCTTTAGCCACTGCTTGGCACGATGTATGGAAAGGTGAAGACTATTTGGGTGGTGCAACCAGAGGGCCTTGCAGGGTCAACAGACTTTCACCAAGATCTTAGGACCCAATCTCTAGGTTGCCAAATGTGATTAGGTGCTTTGAACCTATAGGATTGTGTATCTCTTTCGGAAAGGATGCAGGGCTTGTGGACCCCACCTGAAGTCCGGTTGTGACTCTCAGACATCCTTGCAGTCAAGCCTAGTAGCGCACTCGTGCGCGCCAGTCTCTTTCCTGGGGTGAAAAACCCTGCGCCCAAAAAAACACACTATCCTCCCATTGAAAAAATCCCATTGAAAAAATCCACCCAAACTGGCCGGGTCCAATTCACAAGATCCAAGGCATATTTGATGATTGTCCATTGGTCCATGACGAAGCGAATCCCCTGAGGCTCTCAGACAAGCTCCAGGGCACCGGAGCTGTGGCTTCCATCCTGGGACCGCAATGGATCTTGCATCAGCGTCCCTTGGCGGCTTCGCCGTGGGTATGGCGGATGATGGCGAGTTTTTAAGCCATGGATCCCCAACAAAACCATGGTTGTTTCAATTCAATACTAAAATGGTCAAATGTTGGATGGTTTTGGGGTACCCCCCCATGACTTTGGAAACCTCCATATTATATACATTAGGTTAAATCCAGAAAGATTTCGGAAAACACTGTATAGTATAGTTGATGTGGATTTCAGAACATGTGTAAGCTTAGAAGGCCTAGAAGTGACCGGTCCAAACCAAGTGTGAAACTTTGAGTCCTTTGGGAACCATAGGTATACGGAATGTAATTTGAAGGGTGGACAACAAACAGCAATGGGTTCAGCAATGTCAAAGTATCAACATTGTTTATTTGTGGCTCTCATAAAGTGTTTTACAATGTTTTACCTATATAATATATATATATAATATACACCATATCATACCATATCACCAATAATTAAACATCGATATATATATATATATATATATGTAGTTACATAATGGTTTCAGTCAATGTTGATCTGTAAGCAGCTGTAATCAGCAACAAATGGGGTGGGAAAGACTGAGCCACCCAGGATTGGAATGGCCCCTGGTGGTGGCTTTAGCGGCAAAGCCGGAGTTGCGCCATGGGCCCTCCGTCCGCAGTGGATTTTGACACCTGGTGGGGGTTTTCGGAAAGTAGTGTAGAGTCACTATGTGCTTGTAGGTCTATCATGAGGTACATTGGTATAGAAGCCATCATAAGTCGAAATCTGGTGTCGAAATCTGATGTCAATTTAATTATGTCAATATATCAGGAAATATGACACTGTGCCCAGATGATGTTGGTATATCCTGGGATGAGCAACAAACCTGTTGATGGTAAGTCCTTGATGCTTAATGCTTATGGATATCCCACGAAAAAGCATCCATGTACAGTACAAGTGGGGGAACCAACCATCATTGTTCATCACCTGTGCCTATTTCCCTATTTGGTTGGTTGCGTAAATCAGCTCACTTTCTTGAGTTTTTATCATGATTGGTTGTACATCTGAGGGTTTTTCATTCTCCGGATTCTTGGTGATTCTAGTTCTCCCGGTTTTGAACATTGCCAGTCGGGGTGCGAATCCAAGCCATCCAGGTATTCAGCCCTACTGGAGCAGTTCGTGAACGGGAAGCGGGCTCTTCTCCAGGTCCACACGCACTTTCCACCTATAGGCGGCGGATTTTTGAAAAAACCTTTGGCAACGTTGTGGTGGTCGTTTTCTGCGAGCAATTTTTGTTGGCTCTACTCTGAAATTGCATTCTAATACAAGGTTGGGGCCCCTACTTTGATGGCTAAGTTAGTTTGTAACTCCAAAAACTAGGTAACAGCACCTGTAAGAGGCCGTGTCGGTGATGACATCACACAGTGCCAGGACGATGAGGGAAGTGTCCGAAACTGTAGGAATACATTTTTATATTTCTGAAATATTTTTTTGGTGCAAATCCCTTGGAAGGATCACTTCAAAAGTGGAACATCTATATAGTGTTTTACAAGCACGAAACAGGAGTTTTGTTCGTCGAGGGTTTCGCCGGAAAGTTCCTTTTTTCCTTTCAAGCACAAAGTTGTCCGAGGTTGTTCAGGACATTGCCTTTGACGCTCTTGCGCCAGACTGCAGCATACAAGTACTTCCAATTTTTTCTGAAGTCTTGTCTGCAGTCTTTATGTGTATGCAACTGCCGGGGAATTGTGTTTTTAACCCATCCCACTGTCTACCCATCCCACTGTTTGTCTAAAGTCTGGGTTCCGGCCAAAGAAGAACTCTTTTTTGTGGGCTTCCTCCCAAGTGCTTCACAAACTCACCGCGTTTGTGGGCAACGTTTTGCCATTTGAGGCGTTTTTCTGGCACTTGTTGTTTGGAGGCTCCTTTCCAAGCTTTGCAATTTGCAACCGTCAGCATAGCAAGCTGTTCTGGCTCGTAGCATGACGTATGTGTGGAAGTGCAAGAGGACGCACTATGTGGTTGCAGTCGCAATGAACATTAACATCCCACACCCCACCCCCCACCCCATCCCTCCCAACCCCCCCCACCCCCCACCCGCGGCCCACACCCAAAATATCCACACGCGCATGGCCTCTTACTGGTGTTGACACCAAAAACTAGAGCTTATTGCAGTTATAACTATAGTTAATGGGCTTTGGAACCTTATAACTGGGCGGCCTCTACAAAGTGGGGGAACATGAAAAACTACTGGGTTTTTTGGGGTATCAGATTCTTATATTATAGATTCTTGAACAATTTAGCAAATTCTCGGAGTACGCTCTTTGGGTTTGCCCAAGAGAGATTTAAAAGAAACATTTCCAGGATGGTATAAATGATATTTGCTCAAAATTTCCAAGGTTTCCAACAATTTCCAACATGTCTGTTTATTTTGAGTCTCATTCATAGTTGAAACACAAAAATGGCCCCAGATTGATGGAGCATAGAGGAGCCTAACATGGTTGGAGGCAGCGTGGAATCCCAGCAAGTTGAAAAAACTGTTGTTTGGATACCATCAACCGGGTATCCAAGAAATGACAAAGTCTTCTTCACAGGATGGAAACTAAGTCACTAAGCAAATTGCCAAAACCGAGTCATTGCTGAATCAGACTGTTGAAATGTCCATTCTTGCTGGTTACAGCCAATGTTCTATTGCTTGAATTCCCAATATGGATATATGGGTTGTCCACTCCCAGTTTTTATTGGTAAAATCCTACTATTGCTGATTAAGTCCATAATGTTCATGCTGAACATGTCAACTATTGCTGGTTCAATCCAACTTACGATTGCCCAAGTTCCCATTGTTGCAGGTTCATTTTTTTTTTATATTGCTGACATCGTCGTCACTGTGGCTTAAATCTTATGGTTTGTCTCGCGGACATTTTCCCGTCATTGTTGGGGATATAATGGAATAGATCATGTCATACATACTGTATCATTTCAATAATAATTTGGGGATAGATCACTTTGCTGCTGAACAATGCCTGGTTGATGGTTTCAAACATGAATGTTATTTTCCATTTCATATATGGGATAATCCTTCCCAACTGACTAATATTTTTCAAGATGGCTATTGCACCACCAACCAGATGCATATGGATGATTATGGGATGATTATGGGATTTCTACAAGGTGGTGCCCCATAGTTAGCTAAGTTGGTTTATAAGTCCAATAACTAGGGTTTATGGGGGTGATATCTATAGTTACTGGGGATTATAAACCAACTTATAACTGGGGGGGCACCACCTTGTATGGGAAAGTGTTCCCATGTCCAGGTGCTTTGTCTGCCGACTGGGCCGAAGAAGCGCGAGGCCTGGATGCGAAGAAAAATCGCCATCTCCAGATGTTTGTTCAATGCCAATATTACCCTCTGGTAATTTAACATAGCCATGGAAAATCACCATATCAACTATTTCTATGGCCATTTTCCATAGCTATGTTAAATAGAATACCAATAGCTTATTTTACCCTGCTTTAAATATTGGATCGTATAGGATCATATTAAAACAAATGGATCTTAGGTCTTGGTTTTGGGGACCCATTGTGTATTCAACATGATCAGGGGGGTTGGGATTTTTGGGTTCAAACATGTTCAAACTACCCAAGAATGAACAAATGTTTAGTGGGAAAAAGGAGGATTCTCAGTAGGATCTTGGGGTACCCTATTCACCAATGGCGGGTCAGCCGTGATCGCCAGCAAATTTACAATGTTTTACGCACAAAAGTAGGAGGGAACGACCAGAAATGGGTGCAGCTATCAATTCTTATGAGAAAGGTGTCTCGATTTGTTTTCGGGTGGCCTTTCAGAAGTCTCAGATGTTTGACCATTTTGACCCGTCAGCCATTCATGTTTCTGGGGAAATACAGTATCGGCTGCAAATTTATGTTTCCCTAGTGGAATTCTGTATCATTTGTTGGTTGATCAGAAATAATTGGCCAACGTCACTGTAAATAACGGTCATGGAAACTCAAATTCACCACAACATTTCAGGTTGGTGAAATAATTGAGATTCAGCTAGAATAAATTGATCTTTACAATCAGATAGATGAGAGGATGGCTAGCCATACTGTGAGTGGCCAGGCTTTCATTGGGATGATAAGCACTGTTTACATAAATCGTTTCCGTTCTGTCTCATCTTCTAGTTAGGATTATTTGCACCTTCCAGATATCGCTTTTGTATCTATGTATATGCATTGCGTGTAAGTATGTAGTACCAATACGTGTGCAGTGTAAGTGTATGTGTGGATGTTGTGTATTTGTATATGTTATAACTGTTATACACATAGACTATCATAACTGGTTGGTGGTTTGGAACATGAATTTTATTTTACCACAATATATGGAATGTCATCATCCCAACTGATTTTCATATTTTTCAGAGGGGTAGGTATACCACCGACCAGTTCCAGGGGATGGGAATCCAGCATCCACGGTTTTGCTCAGGCATCCTCAGAGCTTGGGAGCACAAGCATCCAGGTTATAAGGTGGGCGGTGCTTGGGGTGCTGAAAATATCATCGTCGATGGTTTAAAACGGTGATTAAAAAAAAAAAAAAAAACTATCACTGGTTCAATTTTTGGTATAGTTACACTGGATTATAATCCATACATGGTATACCCAAACTGGTGATCATTACAATGGATTAAACATGATTAAACTATAGCCACCATGAATGGTATATGTAAATTATTATTGCACTGGATGGATTATTCCACTACCAGGTTGGATTATTACAAGCCACCTATGGGGGGGGAATATTGAGCGCAAACCCCCACCGTATTGGGACGATCCCCATCCTGGACTGTACATTTTTTTTGGCGGTTGCAAGTAACAACTGGGGTATTTCTTTATGAATCTGAGAGAATTTGTTTTTTATACTACAAATCCTGACATGTCCAAACTGCTGATTGCATGGTATTATTCCGATTTCTGACATTTCCTAACTGGTTATATTTGGTTTCTTGACCAATAAGATGATCTTACCTTGGACTTTTCCAGGTGCAACTGGCTGGTGGCAACGCAGAGGCAGCGGACACCCGAGCAGAGCCTCTTGGTCAAAAAAAAAAATGTGGATTTGACCATCAAAACATGGAGATAAATCGTGGGATTGATATAAGCAACAAAAATGGTGATTTATTCCATAGAATTGGATGATGGGAAAATTTACAGGAAAGCCCTATATTTGATGGTAAAAACCCATGGGTTTCCTGTAGATTTTCCCTTAAACCAATCCAGTGATTATTGGGATTTAACTCAACAAACATGGCGATCTATATAAAGGCTCAGGTTCAACTGGACAAATGCTGTTTGAACTTTGGAAGATAACTATTTAACTACAGAAAATCATCTGTAAATGGGGATATTATATATTGGGATATAGGAGAAAAATCGCGAATAAGGCAGAATGGGATAGTTTGAAGATTCTATGTGGTTGTGTGGTGTGTGTTTAGTAAAAAGTGGTTAAATCCTGCACTTAGGTGGTATTTGGAGAGGACAGAAGGATCATTGTATAATCACCCAAAGATCCGGAGCCAACTCAGTAACTCTATGGTTTATGGTTTCAACTCTTTCGTGTGTCCATCCGTATCTCGGATACTGGCCCTGATCGGCCAGAAATGGTTGACCCAACTTGCAGGTGTGTTGCGCGCCAGCGAGTGGACAAAACTCAAGACACAAGAAAAATGCACTGATGATGGTGGTGATGGAGATATTCAACGGATCAGTCAATGATATTGATGATATTCAGCCTCAGTCCAAAACATAATATCAATATATCAGTACATACATCCCCTAATTGTACGTTGTTTCGACAGGAATTTACATGATATCGAAATTTGACGCTTATTGCCATTTCTGTGGAAACATATCACCTGCAACTCAGTTTGAGATGTTTGACTATTTCCGGACATAGACCCACAACCGGCAAAAACACCATGTATTCTTCAATATCACCAAGTGGTTTTGGCATTTTTCAGTGGGCCACTGTAGATTTCATGGACCAGCCAACTCGTGGAACATAGAGCTAGGAGACATTCATAACATTGATCCCCTGGAAGAAAGAAAAACATGTTTTGAAGCAACTACCCTCTGGTTATTTAACATAGCCATGGAAAATGGTCCATTTTTAGATGGTTTATCTGTGTTTATCTATTAAAAATGGTGATTTTCCGTGGCTATGTTAAATAACAGAGGGTACATGTTGAAACCTTCGCCAACTCTAGGATCATGCGCGCCATGTGGACCTACTTGGTCGTAAGCATCTCCTTGATCATGATTGTGGCTGGGATGCAGCCATCCCGGGTCTCAACTGTTGGCGAAGAAAAACCATGGAGTACCGGTACTCCCAGATCACCAAGCGGTTTTTCAGGCAGCTCTCGAAGGGCTGATTGTACTTTTGTACACAATCTAGAGCAGGTATTTTGAGAAATGAGAGACAACTCAACAAAAGTGCAAAAGAAAGAGTTCTGATTGTGTTCATTTTTTGTTTCAAAGAGATCAAGCAGCAATTGACCTCATATTTTGGTTGGTCGTGTCTTTCTCGTCAAAGGAACTGCAGCAACCTCTGACGAGGTTATGAGAGTTTTGGATATGTGCAAGCGCAGACAAGTATCTAGGTACTCGTATCTGTCAAACCCTGGCACCGTGGTGGTGAATATGCCAACAACATGCAACAACGCATATGTCCTTATCGTCAGTGGGCATCGCCAGTGGCAAATAACAACCATATCAACTCAGAGAAAGTAAGCTTGATGGAATATCCTCAGCTAAATCGATATACCAACAACGGGTTATAAGTTATAATATATTATAATTACATATAGTTACGATGCTTGTGTAGCTCTGAAAACCACTAAAGTAAGTGGCTATAAGATGGTTTTTTAATGTCATGAAATGCCTGAAATGCTTTTAAGTGTTATTTATTTGTGTTTAATGTTACTAAATATTAGTTATCAAATTATATTAAATCATTAAATGCTATCAAATGACTTCAAATGATGTTAAATGCTATGTTTAAAATACATTAAACGTTATCACTATCTATCTTAAATGGTATTTTTAATGATATTTTTTGACTATATCAACATCTATCACTTCCCATGGATGTCTCGCACTTCGCAGGTCCTCTACCTCTCGTTTCAATCCTTGCTGGTGCCGCTCCGTCTCGCTTTGGCCATGCTCTTCACCCTTGTGGCCACCTTCGGCATGGGCGTGCTGGTCTACCAGACCACGTGGCTCCGAAAAAAAAGGGCCAGTGACAGCTATGGAAAGCTGTTGAAATGTGGGAATGGCATGGGAATATCCCGGGAATGTCATGGGAATGTGGGAATATCCTGGGAATATCATGCGGAATATTGGATAAAATATGGGATTTGCCAAAGAAAGATGGGGATTCACAAATGACAATTAAGATTTGAGCAGCCAAAACGGGGGATAAAACAAAACCAATTGGGATTTTCCTGTGAATAGCATTGGAATATATTGGAATACAATGGGGACATTGGTTTGTTCAAGAATGAGCTACGCGAATATTCAACGGTCGTGCTTCATTTTCACTGTTAACATTGTGATATGGGGGTAATAACACTCCATGTTCAAACACACCCATCAGGCTGGGATACTGGTAAAGTTGATGAGTTGGGTTTAAGAGTCCTGGCCAGGAGACTCAGATTTACAAACGTGAAGTTTGAATGTTGAATGGTGTGCCGATGACCGTCCGGTTAAGTTCCTTGATGCTTGTTATCACTCATTGGATGCACATAGATATGGAATGATGAATTCTATTTTTCCGCATATTGGGAACAATCATCCCATTTGACTAATATTTTTCAGAGGGGTTGAAACCACCAACCAGTTTATATGTGTTTTTCCACCAAGAGAAACCATTGGTTTTCACCGGGGTTTTCCATGTCTATGTTGATTGAAAACAAGTCTGTTGTAACAACTGGTCCAGCAAACAAGCATCGGTCGCCACCCGGATTGGTTTTGGATAAGATATATATATATATATACATATTATGATAATATTTATACACAGTATATAATATATATATATATATATGTTTTAACATATATATATAGATATACAGATATATATATATATATATTATATTAACATATATATATATAAATTAATTAACACACAAAGATATATATATATATATATATATATATATATCCGCAAGTTGAGCAACTCGAAAACAAGACCTCTCACTCGAAAACATTCCCTCTATAGTTTGAAAATCTGGAGTTTTGTTTTAAAACTGCCGGGATGTTAAAACCTCTAAGATTTCTTGCAGGTCCGCATGAGTAGGGTATTTGTATATACTTACCTACTCGAGAATTGGTTTCTCTAAACGGTCTATATATACATTCAACAAACCAAACTGATTTTTAAATGCCTGCGGCAAGCCGCCGGACATAGAGAGGTGGCCCCAAGGGAGTTTGATGTGCACTCTAGGTGGAAGCCGGAGAGAGAAGCAGAAGAGGAGGAGGAGGAAGAAGAAAAACAAGAAGAAGAAAAAGAAGGGGAGACGAAGACCGAGCAGTAAAACGGAAGCAGCTAGTGCTTGCCGTAACAACCTATTGACCGGATACCAAATTCGTACCGACCCCAGCAAAGTAGCGCCAGGTGCTATGTATGAGCCTTCGGCTTGACAGCAGACCGCTGCATGGAAGGGGACAAGGTGGAAGCGGAGAGAGGTTGCCCCAAGGGAGGTGGATGTGCAAACTAGGTGGAAGTCGGAGAGAGAAGCAGAAGATAAGAGAAGAAGAAGAAGTAGTAGAAGAAGAAGAAGAGGAGGAAGAAAACAGAAGAAGAGACGAAGATACCAACTGAGTACCTGTCGATCAGTATAGTACCGTGTACGTCCTGTGACCACTACGTGGTGTAGATAGTTTCGCTAGCTGCTGGCACTACGGGTTTAGTACTTGGGGAAGACGGGAAGAGGTGAAGAGGAGGAGTAGTAGTAGGAGATAGTAGCTGTAGCAGTAGGAGGAGTAGCAGGAGTAGAAGGAGTAGTAGGAGTAGTAGTAGGAGTAGTGGGGGATGCTGCTTGATTTGTTGTAAAGTTGAAGAGTGGGTCAGGCGGGTTGAAAATGTCGTAGCGGCGCCGGAGAAAAGGAACGCGGATAGAATAGAAGTTCACCCTTTGCGTCCTCTGTGGGCCCAGCAGCTAAGAGGACCAAACGCCGCCCTTTAATCACATGGGTCGATGTCGTAGTGGCGCAGGGAGGCGTCAATGGGAAAATCGCAAACGCTTTCACTGAGACAACATGTCGGGAACGCCACGTCAGAGGGGGAGGGGGCTGTGGACATGATTCAGACGAAGCAGAAACACGTAGCAAGAGAACAAAGCAACAAGTACAAGCCAAGAACAGAAACAGGAACAACACCATACAACACCTTACAATCAGGCACGCCAGCAGGCCGGCGGATTCCATCCATCAATGGCTGGACCTTCCCGTCTTGCTGTTGGTTATAGTATGTTATAGTTGAACTGGAAATGCTTCAACTAAGCCTTCCGTAGCCAGCATTGATCATGATTCCAAACGCTAATCAGTTACATGGCCCTAGTGGACACTGCTTTGAGGATCAACCAAGTATAGACCCCTATTTTTTCCAAGGGTTTGAATTGCCCAGGGGCCGGGATGATCTCCTTGTTTCAGGCTGCTTCATGGTTTCATGCCTCCGTTAAAATATTTCAACGGCGTCACCTACGAGGACTGGATGCTGGGGACTTGGGGACTGCTGACCCCAAAATTACTCTACTTCGTGTGATCCCCACCATGACATGTCAGGACGTATATTTGGACATATATTTAGTATATTCTGACATCCTATCTGACATATATTCTGGCATATATTCTGGCATTCTATCTGGCATATATCCTGACATTCCACCTGGCATTCTATCTGGCAGTCTATCTGGCATTCTTTCTGACATATTTTCTGACATTTCATCTGACATATATTCTGGCATTCTACCTGTCATTTATTCTGACATATATTCTGGCATTCTATCTGACATATATTCTGGCATATATTCTGGCATTCTATCTGGCATTATATCTGACATATATTTTGGCATTCTATCTGGCATATATTCTGGCATATATGTTGGCATTCTATCTTGCATTATATCTGACATATATTCTGGCATTCTATCTGACATATATTCTGGCATATATTCTGGCATTCTATCTGGCATTATATCTGACATATATTTTGGCATTCTATCTGACATATATTCTGGCATATATGTTGGCATTCTATCTGGCATTATATCTGACATATATTCTGACATTCTATCTGACATTCTATCTGGCAGTCTATCTGGCGGCATTCTTTCTGGCATTCTATCTGGCATTCTATCTGGCATCCTATCTGGCATTCTATCTGGCATTCTTTCTGGCATTCTTTCTGGCATTCTATCTGGCATTCTATCTGGCATCCTATCTGACATTCTATCTGGCATTCTATCTGGCATCCTATCTGACATTCTATCTGGCATTCTATCTGGCAGTCTATCTGACATTCCTACATGAGGTCCGGCAGGGAACACTTGGCATGGATACTCGCGGTTGAGGTCCGGCAGGGAACACTGGGCGTGGATGGTCGTGGTTGAGGTCCGGCAGGGAACACTGGGCGGGGATACTCGCGGTTGAGGTCCGGCAGGGAACGCTGGGCGTGGATGGTCGTGGTTGAGGTCCGGCAGGGACCACTGGGCGCGGATGGTCGCGGTTGAGGTCCGGCAGGGAACACTGGGCGCGGATGGTCGCGGTTGAGGTCCGGCAGGGAACACTGGGCGCGGATGGTCGTGGTTGAGGTCCGGCAGGGAACACTGGGCGCGGATGGTCGTGGTTGAGGTCCGGCAGGGAACACTGGGCGTGGATGGTCGTGGTTGAGGTCCGGCAGCGAACACTGTGGATCGCGGATCGCAGTTGAGCAAGGACGACGAGGACGACGAGGAGGACGAGGAGGAGGAGGAGAGGAGGAGGAGCAGGAGGAGGAGCAGGAGGAGGAGCAGGAGGAGGAGGAGGCAACTGACATAAAATCTAACAACCCTCACCTGGCAGGTGGGGAAAAACCTGGCGGAATGCAGTAGAATTTGCTGGATCTATTCATGACTTGGTGTCCCATACATTAGGGATATGGTTTATTTATGTAAGATTATAGTATAGAGGGATGGGTTTATGAATTGGTTAAAATTGTTGGAAACTCTGCAAACTGGAATATGTACATTGGTTATCATTGGATTACCTTGGTAAATGACCTCAGTCGTTGGCGAATATCGTAGCAGAATGGCACAGGCCCATGGGACTTGCTCATTGACTCTGTGGATGTCCAAATTTAAACCTAGCTAAATGGACGACTCGATACTGCGTTGATTTTTTTTTTAATATAAACATGTTTTTTTCTGTAACTTGCAGGGGCAGACAACAAACACAGGTTATGGCGAAAAAGGCCTAACAACATCTTTCAACCTCATGTAGTGTATGCCATGGTCAAAAGTTGATGTCAGGGGATGGGTCACCAATCTATCAGGGATTCATATAGCGACGGACATATATCTGAACCAAAATATTTGAACCTTTTCTTAGAACATTAAAACACCCTATACTTAGAACATCAACATATTTCTAAGTACCCACTAAGAACATCAAAAAAACATATACTTAGAACATATCCTTTGATTTTTGCATACTTAGAACATTAAAAACACATATACTTAGAACATTTCCAGTTTCTTTGGTAAATCTGCATATATATACACAAATACCTTGGTGAACACCATACTTAGAACACTTTCTCCCCTCACTGCTGCAGAAAAGTAATATATACCTTTTCTTCGGGAACAATATCCCAAGCAGTCTTTGCTGCAACACACGGACTTGCACTTCGAACACATATATATATATATATGGTTCCCATTGGTTCCCCACTGGGATGTTCTAAGTATAGGTTTCGAAATGTTCTAAGTATAGGTTTTGGGTGTTTTCTAAGTGCCGATTTTAATCCCGTACTTAGAACATCCCACCCGTTCGGGTTTTCATTTTTTTGCCAAAGTATGTTCTAAGTACAAGTCCGTCGCTATATACTCATTAGAAGATATGACATGAATGGCCATACCCCATTAACCCATAATAATCCTGTGTTTTGAGCATGGCACGCGTGTTCTGAACCATGTGGTTTTATGTTTTATCCATACACGGTAGATAACAACGTCGACGAACATAATTTGGTTAACTGCGGATGGGGTGGGATAGAACTATATTAGTAGATAATGTTTCAACGTGTTCTAAACGAACTTATTCAATTTGTTTCAGTATTTTTATTGAACATTGCCCTCTGGTAAACCAATCTAACTGTTGAAAATCACATTTTTTTCAATGGTTAAATCAACAAACTAGTATCTATAAGTGCTATAAGTGGGCCATTTTCCATAACAAACGGTAAGAAATTACCAGACCGGTCACGTGAATTTCACCGTGACAGGTCATTCCGTTGGTCACTGGCATCGCGATTGCCTTAGGCTTGGACTATGATATCTTCCTGGCGCCGTGTCCGCAACGGCATGTTGCGGACAATGTCCACCCTTGATATTTTAGTGATATGATGATATATGAGTATCTCTAAAAATGGTTTATATCATTTGTGTGTTGTTAAATTTGAGATGATCATTTAGTAGATCTTTTAGAGATGTGAAGTCCAGGACTCGCTTGGTGGTGTCACGAAGTTCAAAATTCTTGGATACCCCACATCTGCCAGTGGCAGCAGAAGATGTTCAGAAAAATATAGAAACTCTCCGGTAATTCAACAGAAAGCTATGGTTAAAATGGATGAAGAAAAAGGTCCATTTTAGATGAACTACTAGTTTTCCCTATGGACCCAAATCATAGTCCGTCCAAATATGTCCAAATATGAGTATACGTGGTATAAAGTGGTGTAAAATAGTCCATGTTATTACCCATATGGGAACGGATCAATACCTATAGATACATTTTTAGTGGGATGAACATCCATTTACCAGCTATTTTGGGGTTCACTAGGTACCAGGGTTTTGACCCATCCCCATAAAATTCCATATAATTCCACATAAGTCCATATGAATTACCGCATATTTTTCAGTGAGAATCTTCCTTCTGAATCTCTCGGATTGATCCCAGCCCAAGGTGAGCCGCATCGTGGAGTGCCCTGGTGTTTTGTTTTTTTGGGCCCCAGCTGCGCAGCTGGTTGGAACGCCACCATATGGTGCCGGGAAATGATAGATGTATGATATGTATGTTCACCCGCCAAAATATTACTGGGTAAATTTCATCACGACCTCACTGTTCTCCCGAAGCCTGGGAATCATGGTGAATGTATAGGGAAATCATCCCCAAATGGCCGAACAAATCAGGGTAGTGAAATATTATAATTTACCCAGAAATATGGTGTTGGCCCTAAAATTGATCTTGAGTCAAGAACCCCGAAGGTTTGAAATATGACTTTCCCATCATTGAATTTCGAAGGATCAGAGCGATGATCAGAGTTGAGTTTGTGGAGCCATTCATGTCTTGGAGGATGTAGAATGGGATGATTTTCGCATCAAAAGATCTCTAGTGATAGTGGATTTTCCCATGTGTTCCTATGATTTTCCCATCATTTCTTGGAAATTCTTCTTTTGAAGGCTTGAAATCACCAGCCGCTGCGTCAATATGTGCTCTCCCCTCAAATTTTACTGACATGGCAAAGATGGATACTGTAGAAATTCTGTGTTCAATAAGGGGACGGATCACCATATCTGGGGGGAATCAACATGCCATAAACATTCCTATTTGGGGGTACCATCCGGGTACCAGATGATGCCAGATGAATCAGCTTTGGAGTAGATGTTCCCAGCTAACCTCCATAAAAACAGAGGATTTCTCATTGCCACGGTTATGATCTATCATGAATCCAACCTTGCTGGATCAGATCCTCTCAGGTTTCGAGTGCAGCGCTACTCAGACCGCGCCAGCATTTTCCGAGGCGCCGTTGCTGCCAATAGAAAAGGGATGGGAAAGTACCAATATTTTAAGGGACATGAATTTGTCGGGATTTTCTTGTTAACCAGATTAGATGATACTAGATGATTAGATAATTAAGACCTGAACGATTGTGACTTCATGGAATCATTGATACATTTGATATCATTTTATATTTGCACCATGAATATGTGTAGCAGGTCTGGCAGTCGTTGGGCAAAGATGACGTGAGATTTTGGCGAATAAACTCCTGAGCAATAACGACATTGCTGGTGCCAGCACGCTGCTGAATTACTCAGCTGAAACTCAGCAATCAATGGGAAAAACATATAATATATTTGTTTATCGTACAGATATGTTTTATTTATGGAGAAGATAGTGTACGATAAACAAATATGAGTTGATAAGATCTTTCTACAGAATATCTCAACTGTACAGATTTTGGTGATCTTTCATCTCTAGTTGAGTATCGAATCTGATCTCAGACTGGACAATATTCGTCGCTTTCGTCCCACTGTGCGGTCTATTTTCTGACTAATTAATGTATGTATAATTATGTATATATATATATATACATTATAAGTAGAACTATATATATATACAATAGATATTTTTTTTTGATTATGTTGTGCTCTTGGGTGTAGCTGCAGTACAGCTATAATCTAAGCCTTTTCAAAATTGCCCCGCCAGGTATGCTGAAAACCGGAGATGTGATCTCTGGCGCCGGCCTCATCATGTCCCTGGCGTTCTCAGGTGAGACCTGGTTTCCACTGCTTGGGTATTGGGTTCATGTGGGTACGACCTTATCATGGATAACCATGGTGATTAATGATGGTTAATGATGGTTAATCATGGATAATAATGGTTTTCATGATGTTGGTTAATGGTGATTATAGTTATAACTGGTTTGGAACCATGGAATTTTATGACTTTCCATATATATTTTGGGAATTTCATCATCCCAACTGTTACTCAGTCCATGATTTTTCAGATGGGTTAGTTGAAGCCACCAACCAGTTATACTACCTGGTTATTTCTTGTTGAGTGGCTTAATGTTTAAACAAACCTGGTCTTTGGGGATCTTTTGGGGATTCCATCCAGAGTTTTCCCGGGAGACCGGGATAGCTTTTTCCCTATCCGCCAAACTGGGAAAACATGCGATTTTTTCCATCAATCCAACTATCATTGGATTATGGTCCTTCTAACCAGTGACCGGATCCCTAAGACGAGATGTTTTTTTCAGTGCTGGGGGCTTTATCTGTGCTGCTTTCCTGTTTCGTAATTAAGCAAGAAGGACCTGGTATGGCTACCACACACGAATAAGTATGGGATTGCAATTGGTGCTGAGATGTCTTCTGAAGATGTTGTATTCTTTTGTAACAGACATACTTTGTTTAAGAATATGCCTGGGTCATCCTGGGTCAATAATTACTTCAATCATTCAATCCCGGCAAGATGCAGGTGATAGTGATTCCTGTCACCGGCAACAAGCTTTCTGGTTGTTTTTCACCACAATGGGGATGGATATCCGTTGGATCCTCATATAGATTTTGCTGGGCAAACTTCAGATAGACTACAAAACTCTCGGAATCCCAAGAATTTTGGGCAAAAGAAATCCATGAACATCAGTAAAATGATCCATGTTGTGGTCGGGTCTGATCTTTTCCGACAAGATCTTCTTCCAGCAGTTCGGGGTCTTGTTGCTGGGCTGCAGCGTCGATGAGATATGACCACCCCCAAGATTGCATCACTGGTGGTTGATGGTAAGGAGTTGCTGAGAAAAGCCCACAAGATTGCTCTTCGATGCTCTTCGTATGTGTGTTCTTGATCAAGACTAAGGTCTCGACAAACACAGATTGCTTGCAGTCATTTCTAGTTATTCTAGTTTTACTTCATCAACATTTAGGTTACACTCTCAGCCCACACCCGTAGAGGCATGGCAGCAGAATCTATCAATCCCCACATATTTGCCAGGATTTGCCAAGTAATCTTTGACACAATCATATTATTAAATACGTTCCAGTTGTTGGGGATTTGCCTGTCATTGATTACTGTAATGGTTCAGTTGGTCACTCATTGATTGCTGAACTCTCCATTGTGTGGTCATGATCAGTTTTAGTTGGAACCATCCCATCATATCAGTTTCTTTGGAAATAGGGCACCCCCGTTCCATCCAGTGATTCAAAACCTCATATTTTGGTGGTTGAAAATCTAAGGTTCACAATGGAAAGGGCGTCAGAGTACACCCCATTGCAGCGCATCAATCAACATTGGCATATCTTGTTGGCTGCCCACTTCCGTATATAGTCCATAACCATAGTGCTCATATAAGCTAACTAGATCATGACCTGTATATATATATGTGTGTACTGTATATATTATTGCATATATAATGCATATGTATAGGTTTTGTATTATATATATATATAGGTTATGTATTATACATACTATATGTTATGTAGTGTAAATATATATATATATATATATGTAATAATAATACTATTACTATTAGTAGTACTGTTATTAGTGCTACTATTATTACTATTAGTTTGATTAGTAGTATCATTATTTCATTATTGTTGTTATCATCAATATTAGTAAATATATATATACATATATATATATGGTTGGGGGTTTTAAATATTTTTTCCATTTCATATATGGGATGTCATCCTTCCCATTGACGAACTCCATCATTTTTCAAGATGGGTATTGCACCACCAACCATATATATATATATAATATGTTCTAATCCCATCATATACTGACTATGATTGTTATTATAACCACTATTATTATGATGGTTAAACTATTCAATGAACATGGGTTATAATGAACATTGGTTAGTTATTGTTATTATAACCACTATTTTGATATTATGAACATTGCATTTCTCCCAGAAATATAGTATAAATAATATGTTATAATCCCATCATATAACCATCATGTAACCACTATGATTGTTATTATAACCACTATTATTATGATTGTTAAACTATTCAATGAACATTGGTTATAATGAACATTGGTTAGTTATTGTTATTATAACCACTATCATAGCCACTACTATTGTTATTACAGCCACTATTATTGTCATTATAACCACTATTATGATATTATGAACATTGCATTTCTCCCAGAAATATCTCCACCAACCAGTTCGATTCGCATGGTTTGAAAACCACCACTTCACTGGCCGCTGTCTCGAGGATCATCACCAGTGTCCTGCTGGATACCTTCGTGGTCCGCACGGTCTTGGTCCCTGCCTTGATGTGCCAAAGCGAAAGACGTGGGGGTGGAAGTTCCATATCCATGATATATCCATGATATATCCATGATATTTTTGGGGGACATAACGGGAATACAACCAATGGTCATTTGGTTGATGGTTTCATTAGTAATGGAAAGTTGGAAACAATAACTGGTTGGTGGTTTGGAACATGTTTTATTTTCCATAATATATGGGATAATCCTTCCCATTGATTAATATGTTTCAAGATGGTTGAAATCACCAACCAGAAATACATATTCATAGATATCCAGGAGTTGATGAAAATTTGGGTTACCCCAAATGGATGGTGTATTTCATGGAAAATCCACCTATAAATGGATGATTTAGGGGTAACCCTACTTAAGGAAACCTCCATATTAACCTGCTGAATGGAAGAAAGAATACGGATAGTTCGCTTTCTATGGTTCATTAAGCTACCCATACGGTGAAAAGTTAACTATCCATAGATATTCATAGTAGGTCATCGATTCAATAATCAACTAGAAAAATGTGAAAATATACTATAGTAGATCATTAATGATTCTAGTTCCATAATCATTATATATATATATATATGTATATATATATATTTAAATACATATATATATATGGACAAATTAAAATGTGACCTCATGGTGTGACCGCAAACATGGCAAGGAGAATCATCCCCAAAGAGCCTTGATCGCTGCCAAGGCTCATTGCGCAGCATTGGAACTGGTGGCCGAGAAGTATGCCGCCACCCATCCACGACGTCTTGGAGGGTTCCCCGGATGGCTTCGGGCTAAATCACCAAGTCACCATGGGATATTAATGGGATTATATGGTATACATACACATTAATAGGATATATGTATGATACCATATAATACCCATGAAATATCCCATTAATATGGTAATATGGTAATATCATACACTATCCCTATGGATCCAGTTATACCTTCTCGGGAAGTGTTTTGGGGTATGATGACTGGGGGTTTGCCGTACCTTCTTCTCTATGATCCCGTTTGGATCCAGCCGTGCCGTCGGCAGTATTTATTTGGAGTATGATTGTGGGCCTTAAGTACCTGAGAAGAGGGACTTGGATCCATAAGGGATCTTATAAGTATATTATATTGACTGATACACTATATAATATTCATTATATATACATATGGGATATGAATGGATATAAGTTGGGACAGTCCAATTGATTGACCCAAAAGTTCTATGGTCAAATACGCTCAAGCAACCTCAAAAAACTAAGACATCAAAGAAATGCATGGCGCTTTCGCCATTCAGAAACCAGATAGTAGCCTAGCCACAAAACTCCTCTGAAATTCTCAGCATGTTGTGCTGGGGAAACTGGTATGGCATGGTATGCCTCCTCTATCCTCTGGTAAACTAACATAGCTATTGAAAATGGCCATTGAAATAGTGGATTTTCCCATTAAAAATGGTGATTTTCCGTAGCTATGTTAAATTACCAGAGGGTATCACCAATCTTGACTCGTTGCCAGGTGAGGTTGAGAGCTGTGGTGGTTTGAGTCGTCCAATACTGGCCCAAACTTCCCTGGATCGGATGTGGCAAGGCGCCGCCATGTGGAACTGCGATCAGCTTGTGCTGGAAAAAGATGGGGAAATCCTCAAAGGAAACGAAGGTTTTAAGGGGAAAATCCCAAAATCCACTATAAATGGAGGGTTTAATGAGAATGAACAGAGTTTCAGTTTCGCAGGTCCGTGAGTATGGGCAAATTCTGCGACCCGCACCGCAAAAGATTGTTTTAAACATCACCAAAACGATCCAAAATGGCCAATGAACTTACAGCAGAGGTTTCTGAAATTCAATGAATCATTGCATGGCAATCATGGCAATGAAATAACTTGGCGAACTTAACAGCCAAGGCAATCATTCCTTATATGAGTATCATTCCTTATATAAGTGCATATAGCTAACTTGCCCAGATCGGCCGCTGTGCCATCGCAGGCGCACACTGAGTCAATCTGAGTCGGCGTCCAGCCTTGGACGGAAACGTTCGGCAAACAGCAAATGGTTTTCAGTAGTACCCTCTGGTTATGACTAACAGTTTGCCATGGAAAATTGCCCATAGAAATAGATGATTTTCCCAGCGAACTAAACCTCCATTTCTGTTTGGGATTTTCCGTGGCTATGTGAAATAGCCAGATGGTAAAACTGAGTGAAGCCTCCTATTTTCTGTGTATACCCAACTTAAATCCTTGAAAAAAACCATTAAACTCAACTTGACTTCGGGTTTGTCCCAAAAAAAAGGCGCTGCGGATGAGACCTGACGGACACCATCCGGCTGCCACAACTCCACCGCCCGTGTGGTTTTCGGTGAAAAATGTACGCGATGCAGGTTGAAAGACATGCGCATGTGAGCTTTAGATGGGAAATCATCTACTTGTATGGATGTGTTGAAATGTGTTGAATTTTAATGGGAAAATCCACTGTAAATGATTCTAAATGGAGATTTTAATGGGCAAATCGTCTATAAATGGAGGTTTTCATGGGAAAATCATCTATCAATGGAGGCTTATAGCTGGGAAAATCATCGAACATAGCTAAATACTGCTAAATGATGGATCTTCCAGCAGGCCACCTTGGATTTCCAAAGGTGATTCAGCTATAATATGTGTTTCTTGGTTTGTTTCGCGACCTTGACCTAGTAAACACCATGGTTTTTTTCTTTAAAATTTCCAACCATGGATTCGGATCCCTGGGGCTCGGGGTCTCCATGGGACTAGGTGTTTTTTTCTGGTATCCTCGATGGTTTGCTCGAAAACATTCCCAATATTGCTTAATGTTTGATCATATTTTATTGTGATTTATCATGTCCCCATGTCTTAATGGCCATTTAATGGCCATTTAATGGCCATTTAAGAGCATGATAGAGGGATTTATATCATTTCAAGTATTCACTGTAAGGATTCCTATTGTGTGACCATGGACATCCATGGAGCACCACATGGGGCCTTTGAGAAGGCTGCGCTCAGAGGTCCAGACTCCAGACTCTTTTCGGGAAGCAACGGGTACCTGGGATGTGCCTTGAGAATATGAGAGCCAAACGTGGACATCCAAACATTGAGAACTGGTTGTGGCCAAAATCCTAGTACCCTAGCCATCCTCTAGGCCCGTACCCTGAAATAGCGGGGTAATGAATGGTTATTCCCCCCAAAATATGGGCATAATAATTGGTTTCGACCCATCCCCAAATTAGAACAGGATCATTTTCCCAAAGCGCCTGGCACGTCAAACCGAGGTAGCCATGAATGTAAGATATGATACAAGATCCCGTCATCTTCCAGTTACTTGTCAGATACAAAAACAAAACAACATTCGTGGTTAAATAAACCCAAGGGTGACCTATCTCAAAGGTCATTGGAAGGTTTGGGATCCAGACGAAAGTCTCCGTGGTGCGCCATTGGCTCAGAACCACGCCGTCTGACACCGGTGCGGAGAAACCGCAGTTTTGTGCGATCCGCAGTTTCCAAATGTCGCTTCGAATTTTCTCCCATTGAAGTCCTTGAAGTCATTGAAAACTGCTCCTTCCGCGGGTCATGAAGCGTGAGGAAAATCAACGTCATCATAGCGGAGTTTTTCGATCAGAGGCACATCCCCCCACTGAATCTAAAGTCAGATGAAAAACCAGCTTTCGGTGACACATCGTGACACATCACTTGTCTTCTCTTTATTCTTGCGCCCGACTGTTCGCCACGAGCGAGCGCTTGAAACCTTTTCGCGATGCAGCCGACCAAGCAATCGGCCAACATTGAGGAGTCGCCGGGGGCACCCGTAGGATACCCTGGGACTGAGCCAAGGGACCCCCCAACATTGGGATATGGCTGTGTCTGATGAGGTTTATACCCTTGGCAATTTTTATAGGGAACATGATAATTATCCAGTGGGTGGGGCTCCAATCTATGTACCTTGCAGCAGATTGATCGATTATTGTCCTGAGGAAACCATGATCGATATGTTGGTGTACCACAGAGTAGCCCCAAAATTGGACCACTTCACATTCGTAGCCCATCTGTGCCATATGGTCTTGAGGTCAACCTCGACTTGCTAAGTCTAAGTGAGTGGTTCATTTTTGTTTTGCCATGGAAAGACCTTGGCAAACCTAAGAGACACCATGATTGCAAGGTATTCAAGATTCACTGTGACGTGGGAACGACAAAACAACAGCACCAACCACATCTTGCCACGATAGCAAGGCCAACCCTTCTGGAGAAAAATCACCTCATTGTCATCATTCTCAAAGATGCTGAAAGGCCTGAAAAAAACATTGAAAACATATAAAATGATATAAAATG